TCAATCTCAAGAGCATTATTCAGTGTGATATCTCACTGTACCTTACCTGTATCATCGGGTTGTTTTGTATTATTTGGGTAGTTAGCAGACACATATGCATTTCCCATCATTCTTTACTAGATGAGCGATTGAAAGAATTTGTCTCTTTGGGTAGTTTATTCATTGCTGAAGTCATCCAGTGTAAATAATTCTGCAATTAAATTTTTGAAGAAAAAGTTTGGAAAAGTACCTGACTGATTTTATCTTTTTTTTCAGACATCAGACAACTTACTCAGCTTTTTTGCCTCCATAATAGCAAAAGTATTAATCTTGCAAATTCTAATTAGGAAGGTGAAACAAACAGTTGTAAAAATGGTCCTATTAGTTCACCCAATAAATAAATAAATAAATAAAAATTGGATAAGCAGAATTCTTGAAGAGGATATTCCTGTGTACGTTGTTGCAGATCAAATGATAGGATCAGATGATAGGATAAAACATTTCAACAGCAGGTTACATGCTGATTAAGTGGAAATGCTGATTAAGAATTTCCACTTATTGTTATTCTCCTATTTCTTTATTATTATTATTATTATTATTATTATTATTATTATTATTATTATTATGTACCTTTTTTGCAACTTTTCAACTCCTTCATACTTTTTGCTTGCTATTTCAACCGTTAAACTTTCAAACTATTCCACTCCTTCAGGACAAGTGCGGATATATTTTTCACTTTTCTACCCTTTATACTTTTTTAAATGCTTGAGTAATTCATGTATACATCTCCATCAGTGTCAGTCTGTTGCAAACCTCTCCTGTGAGCAGAAAAATGTCATAGTATTGTTAATGTATAGTACCCTCTGACTCAGCTTGTTTGGGGTTAACAAAGTGCAAACAAGAATATTTTTGTCCTTGTAGAGACTTACTTTGGTGACTTCTCAGTGTCCAGGAAAACCTTTAAGAAGAAGAAGACCCAAGAAATCAAATTATTTACATAAAACAGGCTAGAAAGTAGACCTGACAGAAAATGATCGATTGTGATGTTTACTTTTAGCTGGGGTTATGGAGTTGTTTGGTTTATCAGCACACTTTTGCCAGCCCATCCAAGAAAGAACAGCGATGTTAATGATCGAGAGCAGGAGCACAAAAGCGAAGGCCGCGATTCCCAAATTCTCGCCAACTGTCGTGGGTTTACAGATACACAGCCATATTGGCTTCTAGCGGGTATATTGATGGTGTTTACTGGATTCTTGTTGGTCAAACCCTCACAACAATTGCAACTGATAAACGCCAGTGGTAACCTGTCACATTAAATCCACCTGTGGAGATTTCCGATTTTACAGGTTTTTATAGCAGATTGGAACCCCCAAACAGGGCTAGCATGAGTCCAACACGAAGCTGAATATTAATTTGAAGATAATATTTCTTCAAATGATAGTAGTCTGATACTTAACCATCATTAACTTAAGTAAAATATAACTTGTATGTAGAGCCAACCATTGTAAGCTTTGTAGTTTTAGCACAAAAGATTGAAGAGAGATTGATTATCTAGTTCCGAAGAAGCACAAAAATAACCTACAAAAAGAAGGAGTGATTGTCTGTGGAGTATTGGCTTATCCGCATTCTTTACTTTTGTAATGAACTAAGATTCAAAGATTGTCTCATATGGAGATTTTCTAGGAGTTTAACCCTTTGATGCGCAACATATCCACACCCCCTCTAATGCGCAACATGGGTCTAAAAAGACCCGCATTCATTTCCAATGGTATTTCATGCTGGCTGAGTTTTTCTTTGTTCTATCTTTTGAAATAAGTTTATTTTCTGATTGAATATTCCAAGTATTCTTTAAATATCTTGTTTTTGATTACCACTGATCATAATTTCTATTTTTCTTTTCATACTTTATGAAATAATATAGTTTCTATATTATTACATCTAGTTTACACATATGGGTCAAAAACGACCCATTCATCCAAGTGTGATTTAATATTGAATTACCTAACACTATAACAATAATTTGTTTCAAGTAATGAAATTAGCAGTGAGTGGGGCCAAACCATAGACTGTATATACTATGGACAACTTGGTTCTGCCTACCGCCTGTGTACGGATTTGGAGCCAAAAAGCTCTCGGTATTTCCGGGACTTTTCTACATTTCTGAAACCAGAGCTGCGCAGTTGCGATGCGTGCTTTCGGCCGCGCAGTCGCTGAGAGTCGCTGTGATGACGCTCGGCTCAAACAGCGTATCCCCCCGGAAGAGCTACGCAATCCCTGAACGCCCATAGGCTGTATCCATAGACTGTATATACTATGGACAACTTTGTTCCGCCTACTGCCTGTATACAGATTTGAATAGCTCTCGATATTTCCAGGATTTTTCTTCATTTCCTGAAACCAGCGCTGCGCAGTAGCAATGCGCGCATTTGGCCGCACGGTTGAAGAGAGCCGCTGTGATGACACTCGGCTCAAACAGCATATCCCCCGGGAGAGCTACGCAATCCCTGAACGCCCATAGGCTGTATCAGGTGTCAATCATAGCAAACATGAACCCCCTAATAACTTTTAAAAATGGAGCTTCACAGAAAAAAAGAGGACCTGAGCACAAACCAGTCTGACAGTAACTACATGTCAACATCACAACCAGGAGGGATAAAAATTTATGATCTGTGTAATAAATTTCTAAAGTTTGTCCACAGCTCCATAATCTTTGCTGGCGGAGGCGGGATTTATGACCTATACTGCAGCCCATCAACAGAGGGTGCTGTTCTCGGAGTGGCTTCACCCAGCGAGAAGGCAGACTCTGTCCATTCTAGTCTATGGGCCACACACTTTTGTATTTTGTATCAGCAACATGTTTATTTGTCATTTTGTCACATACACATGCGTCTGATTATAGCTAGCTGAAATAACGCTAGCTGTTTTACCTGTAGCTTTGTAACTTTCCAACATGTAATGTCCTCACTCTCAAGGTAACCTAGACCTAATCAAATCAAATCTATGTACAATTATATTTCACAATTGTCATCAAATAATTTCTAAGATAATGTCAGAACAATTGAAAAACCATACTTACATGTATTAGACGGTCTTTTCATGCTAAATGCTACAGTCACTGTATGTGGGTCGTTTCTGACCCATGTATGTAAACTTGATGTAGAAATACAAAATCTGTGCTTCCTCATAACGTAAGAAAGGAAAAATAAAAATTATTATTTGTGCTCAACTAAAACAAGATCTTTATTGCATACTTGGAATAGTAAATGATAAAATTAATTTATTTCAAAGATATACCATAGAAACACTCAGCCATACATGAAATAACATTGAAAATGGATACGGGTCATTTTAGACCCATGTTGTGCATTAGAGGGGTAGTGATACAAAAACGTTTTTTATTCAAAAAGTAAAAAAAAGAAAAATTAACATAAGGATGTAGGGTCGTCAAAAACAAGTTAATTGAGGAATTCCTTGAGTACCAACTGATGGAATTAATTTTTTGAAAAGATATATAAAATTTAAACTCAGCCGGGTCTTTTTTGACCCATGTTGCGCATCAAAGGGTTAAATGGAAGATTTATTTTATTTCCAAGCTAGGAACAAGCTGTAAACCAAGTGGACCACCACCCTTCCTCAGACAACTGTTTTAAGCATTGTAAATAACTATGTGGAAACCGCCTTTTCTTGTTTGCTTTTGTCACAAAGAGGTTACAGTTTGTCTGTCATTATAAGAAACAAGTTTTATGCTGCTGACACAGCATTTCCACTTATTGTTATTCTCCCATTTCTTTATTTGGCATCGTTATTTGAATCAAAATTTTTCCTCAACTGTTTCCTTAAAAGTTACTTACGGTTGAGACTGAGTAGGGGTACTTTCTTCTTCTTCTACTCCACCTTTTCAACAGTTTTTCCATTCATACCTTCCTCCATTTTTTATTGCCAGTTTTGCTTTTTCGGCTTTCAGCACTCAGCATTTCCACGCATTTTCTGCAAGGAAATGCAATTTTTCTAGTTTTCTGTTGCACACCACCCAGCAAAGTGGAATGACAAGAAAGTGCCATAGCTTTGTATATAGGTGGAATATAGATTCAATCTCAATTATGGCCCTTTGGCTACTTTCTAGATTTTACTCATACTAGAGATAAGGAGAACTTGATGCTCCTATTTGTAATTTTATAGGGCAAGATCACCCTCTGCTGGAAAATTCAGAAATTAACAGATCTACCAATATGTCATCCTTTACTCCCAAAAGTATGTCACAGAATTTGAATTTGATTAATTCTAACATGCAGTTCTGCCATTAGTGTATAGCCTACCATTATCAATTAGTTCTTCATTAAAAATTACATAAGTAGAGATGTGTTTTTTTCACACTAACAATGAGCAATCTTTAGGGCTTAACTACAGTTCACAGGTTGAAAAAAATAAGGTTTTACTGTACTTGAAGGTACACTGGATGAACCTAACTCTTACATCACTTCTACTGAGAAGGAGCAGGTCACGCGTGCCTCGAATCCCTGCCCTGTTTTACCCTCCTCACTTAAGGTGCAAGTTTAGACCGGGTTTATGATAGGGTTTGAGCTTCCAAGGAATATTCTCACATTATTTATATTTACATGAAAAAAACGAGAGTAATACGTTACACCGTTACACTTGAGAAAAGAAAATAGTAATTCCACGATATCTATAAAAGTATGTTTAGGTCGTTCTATGCTCTCAATGTACGGGTAACCCTGTCTTGGCTCCTTTCAGTCGACGGTACACACATAAGTGGGTATGACCAGAAAACGTGAATATTCTGTGTGCAATAATATGAGTCTTCAGAAAATGAACAACCCAGAGTATTCATTTACACTACCTGTAATTGTCAATTCAAAACATGCGGTTTTATTTTAGAAGTGTCAGAAAACCCGGAGCCTCACTTCGGACGCATGAACAACGATTTAAGGACTAACCAATAGGAGGAGCTGCTACTGAAAACAATTCGGTTTTGGACCAATGAGATGTCCGAGAGTTCAAAGTGGGCGTTACTTCCTGTTTGTGAATCATATGACCAAATTGAAGTCGTATGATGTGAATTTTGCAACTCGTGCACTGCAAACATCGGAACAGTGAGTTCAGTGGAAACTGAAGCACGGTATGTTCAGCAAAGACTTTATGTATTTGTGGAGAGAATTCACTGCGTGAGAAAACTTTATTATCCGCGTAATTCGGCTCCATCTTTTGTTGTCGATGTTGTTCATTTGAGGCTGAGCTAACTTTTTGTTTACACCACAGTGAGTTTGGGTTAGGTATAGATCTTGACTTTAATCAGACATGATGTCATAAGAAACAATTGTATAAGTGAGACTGAATTGAGCAAAAAGAAGTTTGTACTCGTCGTGTTGTTTCTGTCAGGTTAAAACTGCAGGGTCATAATGCTCCCTGGTGTTTGAGGTACAGTCAGACTCTTTTGCAGCTACAGAGGCTAAATACTATCATTGCTGCAGTACACTTACTCTTGAAAATACTAATGTTAGAAGAAGGAGAGTAAAATATTTTTATCTCCGGTGTTTCCTAAAGGTAGCTCTTTCCTCATGTAATGTCTCGGTGTCAGGCCATGTCTCTTTAACAATATATCTTAAATTCTCACACTTTGTGTGTTTGTGTGTGTGTGTATATGTGGTTGTGGGTGAGTGAGGGTGGGTGTGTGTCTTTGTGTGCGTGTGGGTCCATGGGTGTGTGTGGGTAGAAGGGTTGGGTTTTTGTCATTATTGTTGTTTTTAACCTCTGTGAGGCACTTTGAATTGCATTTTCTTTTGTATGAAAAGTGCCATATAAATAAAGTTGAATTTGAGTGTTTTAGAAGTAAGCTTTGTACAATACTGTATTATACTGTGTTTGATGTGTTTTATGTCCTCAGCTGATTTCTCATGATTTTTAGGTGGTGCCCAACACGACATGCATCATATCCCTCATCTAGCTGAGCGTGAGCCCCAGTGACCCCCCTCCCTTTAACACCATGGATCCTGACCAGCAAATCAGTGTACAGCCCCAGCCAAGTGCGGTGTACCTCTCATGGGAGTACCGCCTACAGCTCATTGGACTGGGCTTTGCTTTCTATGCAGCGATATTCCTCATCTCCCACCTCCTGTCTTTGGCAGGGTCACGTACCTACAACTCCCTGCTGGCCAAGGAGCAGGTTTTCTGGAACCTTGCAGCAACACGGGCGGCATTTGGGATCCAGAGTTCTATTGCTGGTCTCAGGGCTTTGATTGAAGACTCTGCATTGTCCAGTGACAGAGTGAGGGGACAAGAAGACTGGTCTTGGTTTAATGTGCTCACAGCTACAGGTTTTTTTGTTTTTGAGAATGTTGCCCTGCATACCTCCAGTGTGGTGTTTCGGTCATTTGACCTCCCACTGGCGACACATCATTTCTTCGCCTTGTCAGGATATGCAGGGGCAGTTGTGTGGGATTCCATTGGACACTTCCTGCCGATAGTTACACTGCTGCTGGAGATGAGCACACCATTCACCTGTATATCCTGGATGTTACTGAAGGTAAGGGGCCTAACAGTGCGTAAGTGCTGCGTAAAACTGTCATTGCTGTCTTACTTGTGAGAAGTTTTTCTCATTAAATATTTTAGCATTAACAAGTCAATTCTGAGTGCTTATTTTCGCATCTAGCACTGCTCATTAATCACGTTTTCGTAGTGATTCTTGTGACTTATCTGAAAGTACTGGAAGTGTCACCAGGTTTAGTTCCTCTTAGGTCTTGTGCATCTTAAAATTGTCAACAGATAAAGTTAAACATTCGTAGAAAGAGGAAGTTCTATAAAAAGACTGAGTTTGTCACTAGGCTTTCTCTGTTCCTCCTACTCACTGACTTGATTTGCTTATAAGTTACAAAGCCATGAAAAATGAGTCACAATTTAGAATAAAAAACCATCAAGGTCAAACTGTAGTGTAATTTTTTCCATCAATCTTTCAACCCCCCCCCCCCACAGGCTGGCTGGGCCCATACCCTCTTTTGGAAAGCCAACCAGTGGGTGATGATCCACGCCTTTCACTGCCGCATGGTCCTCACATACTACATGTGGTGGATAACAGTCACTAACTGGGGGGAGATCAGCATCGTTGTGGCCTTACCCCTACGCCTGATCTTCTTCACTGGCCTTGCACTGCTGACGTTTATCATCAACCCCATGTGGACGCACAAGAAGACCATGCAGCTGCTGAATCCTGTGGACTGGAACTTTGGCAACAAGTCTGCACCTGTGAACGGCTCCATGGAGGGTCAGTCTAAGGTTTCTGTCAAGCCTCACACCAGCTGAAGTGAACCATTACCCTTTTCAAAGATGCCAAAACAGTTTTTCTTTCAGTCTTTTTCTAATGGAGGTATTGTGTGAATTTTACATTGTTGATAGTTAGATTAATTTTGTTTTGTTTTTAAAAAATGGAACCCAAATTGTGTTGCATTACAAGGGAAATTTACTTCAAAAGAGATTTTTGATGGAGGACCACAATTGTAGGGTACTGTTTGATGACTATCTTCCCTTACTATTTCCGGAGAGTATATCTATTCTTCACCTGCTTAGCTCAGCTTTTGAAAGGTAGGTGTGGTTATGCAGAGCACTGGAATGGGAACCTTCTTGTTCTCAACACTTTCAGGCCACTGCAGATTGACATACCCACCTGGGTAGTCACATATGAGGTTGTATATTCACAATAGGAAAATATATTTAAGTTGACATTTTTTAAGAAAACCATTCAGGCACAAAACTTGGAAACTGAATAATGTTAATGTGGAAAAAAATTACATATACTGGTATTTCTATGGAACACTTTTATTTTGTTAAAAAAAGTATGAAAATGCTGAAAAATGTTCATCCTTAGTATTTCTTCTTTGGTTTTGTGAAGACATTTATCCATATAATGCACATCTGTTTAGAACCACAGTTTTTTTTTGTCTCTCAATCTGTCAGACAAAAAAATCTACTAACATCTTGTGGATAACAACAAACAAAATAACTCTACAAAAGTCACATCAACAGTCTTCTCAGATATGTTAGACCAACATTAAAAATAATGTCCTAAATGTTAATGGTTGGAACTCAAGTCCCTTCACAATTAATCATATTGATTGTTTTTAACAGGGGATTCTTTTCTAGTTTGCTGAAATATTCCCCTTTGTCATGAAAGGAAAGGCCTTTTAACAGAATCTCCTTTGTTGGAGGACAAAGCTTCGTATGGTCTTCTCCACAAAAGCTCTTTTGTTAAACTGGTCATGTCATGTTGTGAAACTGAAGCAGTACTGGCAGAATAACCAAGCATTCTTTTTGTTATGATAGTTCGTCTCAGAGTTTTATTTGGTTTTGAGTGCATGATTGTTTTTACTTACTTTACTCAAGATTTCAATAATAACTTTTTCACATAATGTCCTCACTGAACTGGAGACCTTGACATTGTGTCTTGTTGTGTATCATTTCATGTATACTGAGTTTTTTTTATCCTCAGTAATTGCTCTGCTTCAACTTTCTACATTTGTCAGTGGTTCGATGCAATAATACTGCCCAAGCTGCCTCTGTGTAATTATGTATGTGGGCTTAAGAATTGTAGACCTCTAAATTCTTACCGTCAGTATTAACTGTGTTGTAAATGTTCACCTGTAGAATATACTGTAACTCTTCAGTTGGGTTTGAAGGTTTAATCACATTACCAAATAGACTAAATCCCTTAACTACATTGGTTCTGATTAGTGTGAGACACGTAACATTTCATTTTTTGGGTTTACACACACACACACACACACACACACACACACACACACACACACACACACACACACACACACACACACACACACTGATTTCTCTATCTAACTAACTATGTTGAATCACACCTAGAAAAATAAGGTGGTGTGTGAGGACATGTTGCTTAACCCACCACATTATCCTGATAACTGTAGCCTGTGGCATAAATAGTTAAAATGACCAAGAAGTCACACTCATCCCCATTTCCTAAATTGTTTGTTGCTTTGGTTTTCATAACAGCAACTCAGTGACTAAATCAATGCAAAAAAAATCAAATACCCCCCCCCCCCCCTTTTTGTGTTTTCATTACTTGTTTGAAGAGTCTGGTACAAAAATAATATTTTAATGATAACAAAACATGTGACCTCAATTTAAAATAACCATCAACAAGATATTGTAGGATTTTCTCTGTATTTATTTCCATCTGACAGCATAGACAGTATTCTGCTGAGGTGGGTGAGGGTTTCAGTTTGAAGATTTAGTGTTATATACGCAATTCCAAGACATTTGCTAACCTGTTTTTGTTTGCAAATACAAGTTGTGCTAATGAAATAAAAGGATTTTTCTTTAATACAAGGTTGTCTTCCTTGGATGTATTGGTTGAGAGAATTTTTAACAGTGAGCTATGCAAAATATCATCTGCCTGTAGGTGGCAGAAAAGGAATGAATATCACTAAAATACGGTGTGGATTTGGCAGCTTCTGTACCTGCTTCCTGCTTTACATGCTGTGGTATTTGGTAAAAAATTACTCTACAGAAAATAGTCCCTTTTTTTTGCAGTCAAAGATAACTTTCTTGATTTATCTTGATTTGAAAAGGTTAATAAACGTATTCCCAGTCACTTCAAAATGCTCCATAACCTACAGTTTAAGACAAAAGCTTTTACATACACCTAAACTACGAAGTTAAACATGCAAACACTTTTAATTTCTGTCAAATAAGACCCTCTGCACTGTTTGAGCAGGCTTGGATTCAACATCATCTCCGGACAGCTGTTTCAGCCACCTCACACGTCACGTGGGCAGCTTGGAACCGCTGCGCCCGACCGGAGCCGATCCTTCAGGAGAAGACGACGGGAAGCTGTGATTGACGTTCCGCGTAGCCAATAAGAGCATCCCTATGTGAACTTTCGGCCAATCAGCTTCTAGGAGGGGGTTCAGGATTTTCATGGATGGAACAAGCTTGCGTCGAAAAAAGTGAAGTTAAAAGAGGGACTCTAGTCGAGAACTGGATATGTTTGATGTGTTTTACGTGTATTGCAGCTTAAAATGCATTGTGTGTAACATTTGCACGGTATAATTGCGAAGGGACACGGCAACTTCTCTGGAAAAAGTCATAAAATGGTGAGTTGAAAGCATATTTTAAGTTTCTGACAAAGTTTTGAACACCTCTAACATATATGTTTTGCAAACTGCCAGTAAAGGTGAAGAATGACATTACGCTTAATATCTGAAGATAAGTCATACGAAATGTTTCTTTTGTGTATTTCCGTATGTTAGGCGTATTTTTGCCTTCTAACACAGTGTATTGGGAGATGGCTATAACGTGGCGCCTCAGCAAACTTGGCCAAGTTACCAACACTGCCACAACCTGCTGTAAGAAAGACAGTCCGAGTTTGTATTGATTCAATTTAATGAATTTTAAGCTTTGAGTAATTGTCAGGGAAAGTGTCATGCGTTAGCTAAACTTGATCCAAGTTTTGATTTACCATTTTACCGAGTACTTAACTATCTCCTCAGGTTTTTGTTTTCAGTGTTCAGCAGAACCCCAAACTCCACTGAACCTCCTGATCCTCTACAAGGATGCTATTGCAGGTGCAAGATAGCCCTTTTAATGTAATAATGCTATTTGGTCATAACTAAAGCTCAATTCACGCAAAACACCTACTCAGAAAATCAAAGAATATGTGAGGACTAACAGGTATGTAGGTAGGAAGCTAAAGAGGATGTCTGTTTGAGCTGCACTAGTCAACCAAACTACAAATTCAAGTAGTCATGCATAGCATTCCTCAGTGAAAGCACTTGCACAGCTCCAGTCAACTGGAAGATCCATCTAAATAGCAAGTAAAATCATTTTTAAAACAAGCTGTTTTCGTTTTAAGTTTCCTTTATTCACACAGAAGGCTATGTGCCTTCTCTAACACATTTATCTTAAACTGGAAGAGATGCTTTAAACTTATCTTTGCATTTTTTTGTTGTCAAGTTTAACCAGTCACTAATTTGTGAATGTTTCAGATGGAGTATTTCCAGGTTTACACTTAGACAAATTCAGACTATGTATACAAAAAATCTCCTCTGCTAATTTGTTAAGCAAATTATAGGGTGGTGTGCAGAAAACACAGTGCTTAATACTTTCTACTGCAATCCCACCAAGAGAAGGCTTTCAGAGAAGAACATTTCACTTGTCATATATTTGCAGTTTCAAAACATAAAGTACTCATACACTTCATGGAGACACAGTACTTTAGTATCTTACACTTTCTCCTCACCAAACCACAGCTGCTGCTTCTACGGTGGTTGTTTTCAGGCACCTCTGGAGCATTGTTATGTAAATGACTGTAAAAGCGACTCCAAGTGTCCGTCCTGTTGTAATATTTATAAAATCTTTTGTTATAGAAATATCAAGTTCAGCCAAAGTTACTCACCCTCCTGTTTTGTTCTTTTTAGTCTGTAAACAAAGATGTGGGTCAGTAGAGGAATGCCAGGAAATGCTTAAATATTTGTAGCACAGCAGAATTTATACATTGCCTAGACTGCTTATAGATGTCCCGGGAGATGGTTACATGAATTGGTCTTCAAATAAAAAAGAAAGTTTTTTTTTTTTTTGTTGTTTATCATGACTTTGCTGCCAGTTCACAGTGATTTAGCACAGAGACATACCAGTCATTTCTAAGAAAGCAGTGATTGATATGCTGTCCACCCACCACCAACCCACTGAGGATCCTCTGAGATAAAACGGGGATTAACTAGATAGTTCAGCAACAGCTGGGAAGGAAAAGCCCCTGCTCCTCTGCAGGTGGATGTGTATGGCTCGTGCTCATACCACACACTTCTTTAGCTGCCTGAAACATTTTTCACGTACACTAAAAGACCATAGGGTATTTGTGTTAGTGAACACTGCATCATTAATTGTATACTGCTGTGTTTTTGTCCTTATTTGACTGGAGACTGGAATAGACACGTTAGAGGAAGAGGGAGGGACCTGGAGTGTTTTCAGGAGTGTGGTGTAGCAGCTCTCAGAGAGGTTTAGCAAAGTCAAGAATCAGTAATAATCTCAGCATCAGATCGTGTCTTCACCTTTTGATGTCACAGCAATGAATTGTGCTCTCACAATGATGTTCATTGTAATTTGCCTGGGGTGATTTATTGTAATAGCACCAAGTTGCTCCATTCATATTGTAATGTAATAAAGATTGAAGCCTAAATCTACCCGCTTTAACAAAAGCTCTTTTAAAGCAGCGGCTCATCCACTGCTCGCTACACACAAGAGAGTGTTCTTCTGGTTACATGTTGAGCTCTTAAAGCTTTCGTGTGGCTCTTTGGGTGGGTGGAGACCAGTTTGGAGTGACAAGAGACCGTGGCCTCCTCTGTTTTCATGGACACCAAATAGTTTGCAGCTAAAGTCTTTCATTATGTCTTTGAGAGGGCCTTGTCATATTATGTGTATTTTACTAAAAACAGAGGAAAAAAATATGATTGTGATGTAAAAAAAGAGTGCTTTCAAAGTAGGTGTATATTAAGGTACTTATTGTAATAGTCTTCATGTAAATCTTGAAGTTATAGGTAAGAGGTTTAGCTTGTCATTGGCCAGATTTGTGTAAATTAAGAATAAGAAAGATAGCTTCAGAGTTAAATCCAGTCATCCTTTCCCATCACGTGTCCGATTGATCACGCCTCTGACATTGAATGAAAACACAGTAGCCCTGCAGGCCTTGTTATTGAAGTGTAATCCCAGCCATCCACTCCCATTAGGCCTGTAATTATTACTGTGAACTGATGGGGAATACCTGACTTACCCTCTGTTCTTTTGGTTGAGTTGATTGTTCAGTATGCTGAGAGTAGGTTAATGAGGAAAAGTGTAAACATTGTTCCTGTGCTTCATCGGGGTGTTTCTGCTTGTAAACACTCATCGCTGACAGTCTCAGGATCTCAAAGAGTTGGGATTCAGTCATTTGAAAGTGAGCTGTCTGGTGCCTGTTTGTGAGCTTCTCCACCCATTTGAGGTCAGGGTGGGTGGGAAAATGTGGCGCATAGTCAAGGCTGGTTGGCTCAGATACCATAATACTGTTGAGGTTTCAAGGTTGTTCCTGTGTAAATCTCAGAGCTGAAATTTATGAAACAAGCTGCATGAGTTTGCTCCAAATGTGTAGAGTGTATATGAATGTGTAGGATAGAGCTTTAATACCTGTTGGGGCTTCTAACCTTCTTAACCATTTTCATAGGAGAATCTGAATAAAGCATGAGCATTAGATGATAGCATAAAGAGAGGAAAGATGCACTAGACTCTCAAACTTCCCAACATTGGTTCAAAGTCTTTAAAAATAGCGTTATTTCCCCCCCTCTGAAAAGCTGACGATTCAGAGACTGTAAAGAGGTACCCTTTTTCCTTTTCAGTATTCTTCAGAGTACTGACCTGTCCTTCCCTGAACTTCCCCTCAAATACATTACAGGACTTTGTTAAGCCCGTCTATCCACTTTTTAGGCCGGGGATGTGCTGTTTTTCAGTTGAAGCCTGATTACTGTAATCCTGGCTGAAGGAGAAGATCGAGGCATGCTACTCAATAAAACATTCAGCACGAGAGCTGCATAGCAAAGACGGACAATTTCAGCAGACTCCAAGTCTCCCCCTCTCTCTATCTCCAACCACCCTCTCTCATAAGCTTTTGTTTACTACTTTCACCTTCTGTGTGGGATCCCACACTTATTGTTAAGTGTGCTCCAGAAATCGTACAGTAAAACCCAAACACTCATATGTAACAGGGTGTTTCATTTAGACTAGCTGTTAGCAGCACATGACTAAATAGTTTCCATAACCGGAAGGTAAAAGAGTTTTAAAACATTGAAAGGAGTTGCCATGTTTTGTGTTTGTAAGCAGTTTGATTTCTGTATTTAAATCACTGTCATTTGTGTGTCAAAAAAGAAAAAGGCCAATCCTTGAGTAGAAAAGTTCCAACACTACTAAAAACTAAAGCTTGAATTACTACTTTGGATTCCCATGCTTTAAACAATTTTAGAATTTTACTGATGGGTTAACATAGTTTGTATAATCCTCCTAACTTTACATAATGTATACAGTGTCAACATGTTTTTGATCCTTCCTAACATAGGTTATTAGGAATACACAGGCTAGCAAATTGTCTGCATTACTCCAGTAGATCAGATGACTGTTTTCCTGTCTGTAGAGCACAGCTCAGCCTTTGACAGCATGTAATGACACGCTCACCTGAGTCTGTCATCGACTCTACAGCTGAATATACCTGTCTGCTGTCTTCCGCTCTGTTCTCAATCAGTGCTCTCTGAATAGATGGCAGTACAGTACCCTATAATTAAACACTAAACTGGTTGGAGAAGTATTAATAACTCAACAATGATTAATAGTTTCTTGCCATCTGGGTCAGAGTTTGTAGGAAAAGCTTCACCAATACACTTCTGTAAATGTGTGAGTGTTGACAACATGCAATACAGTCAGATTACTGAAAAAGGCTACAGATAAAGGGAGTGTATTTGTCAATTTGTTCTGCATCGAAAATTCCAGGGGCTTTTATGGTGCATGTAACCATATTTGGAGTCCCTTCACACCTCAGGCCTTGCAGTTTGTAATTTGCGTAAAGATGCATTGCGTTCTTCTCAAGGGGCAGAAGAAGCAGAAAAAACATGTAATTATAGGAGGGAGGGTGAAGGAATCTGACTGATTTCAAGCAGTTACAAAAGTGTGATATGAGACATAAACTCCCATTCGGCTCTGTAGAAGAAAAAAAACATCTCGGTGAAATATTACAATTGAGGCTGAAATTGATAGAAATGCATTGCTTGCTTAACGAAACAATGCGAGTCTCTCCCCTGTACGGTCTCCTTTGTCATGATGAGCACACCTGAAAGTTTTCCTTTCTCCTCCCATCCCCTCCTTCCTTTTCCTGCTGTCCTAGAAATCGAACAATGCCTCTGAGGGGAGAAATGAGTCACCCCTCAAGGCTACTGTCAGGGCTGGGCTTTTAGTTGTCAATCCAAAATGTGCCCATTATTTACAACCATGTGCCATGGAACTACAGGATTTCTCATACATCAAGTTTCTCAGGCTTTGCAGGGCCTCAGTGCCGGTTCATCCGTGTCACAATTGCACTGTTTCTGCCCATCTCTTCAGATACTCACTGTGTATTCAAATTGTCCCCGGGGCCATGTATTCTGTGTGAACCTGTCTGTGTGCAGGAGTGATATATGTCAGTTGCGCTGTATTTGCAGACACTGGCCCTGTGTGTTTACATCAACTGTTCAGGCTTTGTGCCTGATGAACAGGGTGTAGGACAAAGACGCAGAGGATTTCACATTATTTGTAGACAAAACAAGCTTTGAGACTCAGAGTGAGTTATCCTTCAGATCTCATTTGCAGCATTACTGATATGTGGGTTAGTCTTAGTCAGAAACAGACTTGTAAATTCACACTGTGGCTTGTTTTGAACCATATAGACTCTGTGGATATCAACTGTGGCTCACGTACTGCAACAATAGCTGCATTATGTTACAGCATGATGTCATGACTCTGCCATCCATCCTAGCCTAAATCAGCAAGCTGAGGAAGTCAGGAAAAAAAAAGCACTTTTATGCGAGAGGCGGCCTTGACAGAAGCTGTCACCTCTAGATACAAATTGTACATCTGCAAACAAAGGCAGTGCTGCTGAGGAATGCAATGTTTCTCATGCCCATGCAGGTCTAAAGGTCTCTCCTGCCCCAGCATGCTAATGACATTTCTCTGAGTCAAAATGTGTGGTTGCTATTTAGTCAAAACTTCAGACTGACCGCTGCACCCTAGATGCTCATGCATACATCTGTGTTATCATTTTTTTAATTTTAAGTTAAGTTGATTGCAGGTTTTTGTTGACTTTGGAAATTTGCAGATATGAAAATGTTCTCGAGTGATTAGCATAAAAAATGTACAGCTTGTACATTAATGTAGTCTTTTATTATGATTAAATGTGTGAATTAAATTTTGATTGGCATGAGCAGTTTTAAAATAAGTGGTTGTGTCATTTGTATTAGTATTATTCTGCATTTGATTGTGCTTGGGTAAAATTCACAAATATGACTTCTTTTGTTTTATTTATTATTTTTAAAATAGATTTGCTAATTTTAATTCCAAAAAGACCTAGAAGCCCTTATGAGGAGTCTTGGCTCACCCTACCACCAAATCATTCCCTTTTATATCTTTGCTGATCTTGTGCAAGTATTCCAAGAAAATCTCCCCCTCCTCTCTTTTAGCAGGGAAGTTAATCACCCTTTGATAATCTTTGAAGCTGAAAATAAAAACAAGTCTTTCTGCAGTCTGCCATCAGATTGTCTGACACTTAACGCCATGGCAGTTGTTTCTTGCATCAAGAATAAGTATTTAGGAGTAGCTGGTCTTATTCCTGATAGTGTAGTTTGCCTTTGCAGGTCATATGGGAAAATCCATGTTAATTTCAGTCTGTTTCCAGTAGGGATGGGCGATAAATTATTGCCCACGATTTATCGTCAGAAAATTCTTCCATGATAAATGTTTGCCATCTCACGATAAACGCAATAAATGCAAGTTGATGACATAAGCCCAAGTGATGGAGCCCACACAGATCAGAACTGAAGGTGGTGAAGAAGACGTCTTTGAGCAGCTTGTTGCTAAACGAGGCTCCAAATGAGGGATTTCCTTCAAGATCAGGGTTTGGACGAGTACAATCAGGTATGCCTGACTTTGGATAGTGGATCTGCTCACTTAGTTCACTCTGTGCAATACAAGTTTTCAATAAATGTTGAAAATGTTTACACATTTCACTAGTTTTCTCTATGACCTACCACTTAAACTTGTAGTTAAGTATCTTATTTGACTACGCCAACTAGTGTCCTGAAGACAGAAGGAGGCAAAAACATAGAAAGGAGTTATATTTTTTAACGGGACTTTTTTTTGTCATCGTCAGAATGGCAAAACTTATCATGCTAATTTTTTGTAGCCGATATCGCCCATCCCTAGTTTCCAGACAAGTAGTATTACAGGAGCTTTAAAATTTTTAGGTATGTTTCATACAACCTACTTCAAAAACACCAGTTAGTGTCCGTATTGTACAATAAACAGAAGGTCACCTGTGACTCTGGCCCTGTTTTGTATGACTTGGTTGTAACTACAACCCCCCACTGTCCCCCTTCATTATGTGGTTTCTTCATCCATCAATCGTTTGGTAAACGCAGCATGTTTGATACTAATTAGCATGAGAATGCTGTGCACACTTCAACATGTGGTTGTATCAGCTAGCCCCAAGGAGCACAAGAAGAGCCTCTTTTGTTTTCATTCACTCATTCATTTGTCTGAATTAGCTTTGGTTCAGACTCTGTTGTTGACACAAAAAGTACCAGACTGTGACCACACCACAGCTATCCTCCTCTGCTGACAAAGTGCTGCTGTGAGACAAGCTGGCTTTTGAGGCATTGACTTGAAGAACAAAATGGAAGAGTTATAGATTGTAGTTAAATGTGTCATCAAAACGGTGTGTATTGACCTGTGTTTTTGTTTTTTTGTCATTGTCTAATGCACGTTTTCCGTTTCAGGAATGTGTGTTGGTGTAGATGATCCCCTTCATGCTGCTGTCTGAGCTCGGGCCAGAGAAGAGCAACAAGCATGGACGTGGAAGACTTTCCTCCCCCACCTCCTGAAAGTAATGTCAACAAAGCTTTTCACCCATACATGCCATTCCCCTTTGACCTTAACTTTACAGAGCAAGTTTGAAACCTGATACAATGTGATGTGCAGACAGGCCGGTTAGCTCAGTTGGTTAGAGCGTGGTGCTAATAACGCCAAGGTCGCGGGTTCGATCCCCGTACGGGCCACAAGTGTTTTGGAATGGGTTTGGAGAACATGATTAGTGGTAGCTAATCCCTCTGCGAAGGATAGTCACAAAAGTCAGAAAGTGACAGGTGTTTGTCGTGCGAGTGCCAAAGCTAGAACAGAATGCTCACTGAAAACCATGAAATGTTGAGTCTGTATTGGCGAAGGCCCCATGAAAGACACATTTAATTATCTACAAGTTGTGTTAAAGCAAGATTTAGATTTGTTTGGTAAGATTTTTTTTTTTGGTCTGGTGATTGTCAGACTAAAGTTTTTTTGGTTAAAAAAGATCTGAAGATTGGAGTAAACACTGCCTCTCTTTTGGTGCTTTAAAAAGTCTCATTGATCAACAATAAAGTCAATGGACAGAGAGAAATGAACATTAAAGTTACTGTCAATGTTAAAACCCAACACTGTTCACAGTTGACATAGGCAGTGTATGATAAAAGATTGTAACTTGTTTTAAAACATAACTCCAGAAAACTTTGTTGACAGTTTTACTCTCCACTTTTATGAGAAAAAGAAAAACTACAGTGTTGGACCAGTAGTATCACCTGCTAGCTTCTGTGGGTCATCTTGTGGCCACTTCACTTCCTGGAGAACTGCTTAAGCTTGACAGTGCGAGTAAACAACTCGGATTCCTCTCCTCTACTTCTCTGCCACTTTGGACTGTGTGGGCAGCAGAACGAGGGAGTAAGGAGGCTAAAATGTGCTGCGCTGCTGTGAATACCAGACAATGTGCCTCAGTATTGTGCTGAATACCCGGCCGCTGCCACACACATAACACACACAAACCAAGAGACACACATTGCCTCAGGGGATAGACACAGGCCAGAGAAATGCTTCGTCTCCAGCTGGCCAGTCACTTGCTTTGTTGCCAGGGCGATGCTAGAGCGGATTGTAACCCAGTGACTCATTGGAGCAAATCATAATGTGGTAGAGTGGAGATAGTCCCACTGAACAAAATCCATATTGTCATAATGAATTGACAATGGACACCTCAGCAGGGGTTTGTGTGTCATGTTGCATAAGAGTGTGTGTATGTGTGTACTCTCTTACACATTTCTTAGTGATCTTGAATTCGGCATTCTTACAAAAACAAAAAGATGTGCAAAATCTGGATGTTCTCCAAAGTTGAAGGAGAGAGCTGAAACATCCTCACACAACTGGTTACTTGAGTGTATGTGTGAACACAGATGTGCACTTGCACTTTGAAGTAAGGTCAACATCCAGTACAGACTCTATAATTAGGCTGCGGGCATGCATACCAATCCAGCGATCTATCAGTGGACTCCTCTGCACAGTTGCAGATGTACTATTGAATGGTCGGTCATGACTTGTCATCTTGCCAAATCCAATCAGATCATGCTCTGTTTTATTCTGGCACAGTCGTGTGTTTCACATTGACACAGCAGAGAGAGGATCAGAGGGTATATTGAGACAATTATAGACCATAAATATTCATGCCAAAGTCCTGGAGTGCCACTGACTATTAGCCAGCTAGCTGTGGCGTATCTTTAAACCCCACACCATTCATTCTTGCACAGATGGAAAAAGACAGATAACATCTCAAATCCCAGGTTTTTTTTGCACCTCTGCCCTTGTGCAAAAGTTAGTCATAGGTGCAGATGCCCAAAGGGTCAAAGAGTTGACCTGAAACATTAGTCACAGATCGTTCCCCCACGCTCTGACTACAGGGTGGAACGACTACCTGTCAAAGCCTGAGGGGATTCTGCCGCTGATTTAGAGCTGCGTACACGGCTGTGAGGGACTTTAAAGTTGAGTTTTCCAGAGGGGGTTTCTTTAGTTAAGATTTAGCGGGTCACTATAGGGAAGACACTCAAGCCTGGAGACATAACACTTTATGTTGCAACAGTGGATGTGGTTCTTTGAGTGGTAATGGTGTGTAAAGAATAACCTTATTAGCTAAGCTCCACATAAATACTTAAGATGGTCCACTTCAGTGAGAGCAGTGTTGGAAATGTTTTGAAAGCACACAAGATACTGGTGAGGGTCAAAAAGAAAAGGTTGACGCTGAAAGGCGGGGGAAGGGAGAGGTCAAAATGCCGAAACCCGGGATCGAACCAGGGACCTTTAGATCTTCAGTCTAACGCTCTCCCAACTGAGCTATTTCGGCTGGTAGCACTGTTATGTCATCAATGCCTCAGAAAAAATGACCCCATAGTGAACTTGGAATTTGATATTTTTTTGGGATCACAGTCAGGATATGAAAATAAGTATTAAGTCTGCCAGTTAATAAAATCAAGCTGTGATTACTGATGAAGGTGCTCACAAAGAATCTGTGGTATGCTTGCAAGGAAGTCTGTGACAGAGATGGGATATCACACTGAAAAATCAAGAGACATCCAAACTTTAAGGCTCGAAAGGAAAGTCACTTGCAACTCGCAAGGGCTTGAGAGATTGTGGGACAGGGGGAGGTCCTCTATTTCATGCTCAGTTTATTATTTTTCTGTCTTCTACAAAGTATAATTGAGATCGAGTTTATCTTTCATTGGTTTCTTTGCTGCAGCGTCTTTTTATTTCACCGCTTTAGCTCTTAAGGCCAAGACATGTAACCAGCTGATGAAAGCTGAGCCTGTGCATTCCTAATCCTTTAACATACTCTGGCACTTAACTGAGCTTCACTGACTTCACTGACTCAGGCCCACACTGCATTCAGAAGATTAGAAATAATTCAAAACTCAGGCTGCTTTTTTTCCTCACTGGAGGAAGAAACAGCTTTCTTTCCTGTCGGCCTAATTACAGTGTGGAAAAGTGGAAAGACATTTGTTGTTCCCTTCCTGTCTGCTTCCAAGTGAGTTCTGTGATGTGAATGTGACGCTTTTGAACGCTAACTATAGCTCTAAGCTGGCCTAGTTTGTATTTGCTATAAACTAGAGCAGATGATGTGCTGTGTCGGAGCAGATCCTTCATGTAAGAAATTCTTTGAGAAAACATACTGCTGTGGCAGACCCCACCCTTAATTATAAGTCTGAATGTGGCTCAGGTCTTAAACAGCCCAAGGACTACAACTGCCACCCACAGTGTATTTCTAAAGGTTCTGTGAAGGAGCCAAGCAAATAAAACTAGTGTTTTATTAAATCCTACCTTTTAAAGCTTTTAAAGCAAACACTTTGTTCTTATCAGGAGATAATTATGCATACTGTAAGATCTTTTTATTCAAAGCGGACACCGATCTACTCTACCAATGCATCAAACAAACTGCATGACTTCTCAGAAGTTTATATATTATGGCCTCCTATTTTGTTTTCTTTAAAGCACTCATTCCTTTGGCTTGATGTATTGCAGCTGAAAGAGTCATTTAAAGCAGCTGCTTTTGCACATTGCTGACAGAAAGAAAATGGGAATTCTTAAAACTCTTAAATCAGGGCTTGACACAAACCTTTTTTTACAAGGAACACATGTGCTCCAAAGTTGAAAATGTAAGGAGCACACAAAGAACTTTGAACAATGAAAATTGATCAAACAATGTGTGTCTTAATGGTGGACATAAGTACTATTATTTGAAATAAATTTTAGGTCTTTTGGTCACATTACATCAAAGCTATTGAAGGAAAACTGCCTTTTTTGAGAACATCATCCGGTAATTTATTGATGGTCCCTTATTCAACACCCGACGTTGACAGTAAGGGTCCCGAGTAGCTTTCACCACACTGCTGTTGCCATTCCCGGTTATGGAATGAGAAGACACCGGTAGATCAGCAATGAATGTCCGTCGAATATCCAACCTAAAACCAATTTCACCGCGGTATTTACGTGAAAAAAAAAGGTTGCCTCGGCTGATTTTTTTTATGCGCACATTTGCATTTTACAATTTGCACACATCTATTTTCAATCGCAAATGAAATGGTGGAACGATCACACTGTTGAGCCCTGTCTTAAATCATCTCTTGGTTTATCCCGTCACTATTCCAAGAAGTTTTATCTGATGATCTCCAAATCAGTATCTTATCCCAACACTCTTCTTCTGAACTCTATCTCTGTTTCCAGTGTTGGTAGACAGTGCCCCCTTTGCAGATGAAGATGAGGGAGAAGCCTTTGAGTTTGATGACAGTGGTGATGATGTTCCTGAGGGTGACTGCCTCCCCCCTGCTCCTCCACCTCCTCTGACCCCCAGCAGAACAGAAGAACAGGGCCAGGATGACGTGGTGGCCAGTCAACCTGAAGGCCATCTCCCCTGCCTGGACCCCCCAGCACCTTCAGCTGCAGCTTCATCATCAGCCAAAACAGCTGTCACCACAGGCAAATCTTCCACAGCAGGTGAAGAAACAGCAGAAGGAGAGGGGACGTCAGCTCCTGAGGGGACTGATAACATCGAGACAGATTTACCACTTCCTCCTCCACCCCCTCCTCTAAGTGATGATGCAGAGGCAGATCCTGGAAGAACAGGTTTGCATCCCAAAAGTGTTGACATTTTATTGCTGCCTTGAGCAGCAGGCTGAGTATTGTTCTGGAAATAAGTCGAGCCTCTCTGAATATGTATTTCTAACAGAAAAAAAAAAATTCTCCACAGTCTCCTGTCATGTTTGTGTGCACTATCTGGCAGTAATCCAGGCCCTTCAGCTCAGGCTGGAGTGAAGCTGTAGGAGTGGGGCAGTCAGTCTTCCTCATGACACCTTGTATCTCTAAATGCCTGATGCTGGAGGATGTCTGGCTTTTATCACTGAAAGCCAAGACAGCAGCAACGGGCAGTAAATGAAGGGCTGTAAATACTACACAGTTCGTCATGCTGGAGTTAAACACACAACTTTTTTCTACCATTACAAAAAATGGATTAACTTCTTTGGCTGCAGACATATTTCCCCGATTGTCACTTTAATTTCGCTCTGCTTTCTACTGCAAAATGTCATCCATTTCCATAGTTAGTGCCATTAACAAGAGCTACTCAAATTGCTTGCTGAAAATTGCCCTTATTTAGAAAACTTTCATGCTAAAGGTTCAAAGTGTAAATCTGATTTTATAAAGCTGGAAGCAAGGGAAATGTTCTTTTCTTACTTGAGTTTGACAACATGAGATTAGTGAGTGAAGCGTGATCCAACCTGTTAGAGTAGATTGTGGCTGGTTTACAAGTGCTTTAGGAAAGTAATCAAAGAAAAATGTTTGTAAGTGACTGTTTCCTTGGACTGCAGTTAAAAAAAAAGACAGAAAAAAAAAACTTTTTTGGTTTTTGTAAAAGTTACTTGATATTCTAAGCTAATAGATTTGATTTGTAGGGCTGTAAAGTCCTTGTTGACTGGTCGACTTATTGGTCGATACGTGCTGAGTCGACTCGATTTTATTCCGCGTCAATTTACAGTCTATGCTTAATTTCGTCAGGAGGAACATACCAAGTGCTAATTGGTGTGTTTTTAGAGCAACCCCCATTTTACTGATAACATCCTGTCTCAGAACAAACCCCCTTGTTTTCACCATTTTGGATTCGCCCAACCCACTGGAGACCAGCTAAGGAGAGGAAGATTGAAGAGCTTTCACGTTAATCAATGTCCTCGCTTTGCTGAATGTAATATTTGTGTTTAACTGCCTCCTTGTGCAGATCTCGGTATATTTTCATCCCGTCGAGCAGAAGCAAAACCCCGGTTTTTGGTCGAAAATTTAAGGGTTTTATTCGACCAAGAATATCTTTGGTTGTTTACAGCCCTTTTGATTTGATGCAAATCACTTGAACATGTTCTGATTCCTTCAGCAATTTTGTGAACATTTTGCATCTAGCATTGCTAAAAAATGTTATTTGTTTCTAAGTGAATACATGAGAAACTATGGGAATGCTGTGTGTCAGGTCTTATCATAAACTTTAAAGCCTTCATTACAAAAATTTTAGTATTTTGAAAACAGACCGAAGTTACGATTCACTCCTCCTCCAGACCTGCAAAAGCAGAAAAGGCCAACACCGGCAGACCTTTTATCATTATCTTAATGTATGTTGCAGATGCTACTAGGGTTTCCAAAGTTTCACAGATCTCACATTTGGGTTTGTAGATATTGTAGACCTTTGATGGACCAAAAAAAAAAAAGAAGTTAATTTACTCTTTACTAAGCCATGGCACAGTACATCAATTTCTTCTCTTATTATTCAATAAAAGCCCTAAAAAACCTGCTTCACAAAAGATAAAGTAATTTTTAAAAGGCCATTTGATATTGCTTTTATGTGAAAAAGAAACTCAAGTGATTCTCTTGACTCGAATCAGGGATCAGCTTAACTGAAGGCATCCTTTGTCTGTGTTTGAGTCAGTGCACCAGCTGTGTGCACATCTAAGTCATGTGAGTAGTATTCATATTGCTGTTTCTCTGTAAATGAAATGCCCTTGTTTCCCCTCTTGTTGTCCAGCTGCTCTGCTCATACAGTAGTGTTTACGTAAGAATGATTTTTCACATATACGTTTGTCAGGAAGACTTGAGCATATGCAGGTGTTATGTTGCTGCTGCCAGATGCTATTTAACAGAGCTTGTAATGACCGTTAACCTTGTAGGAGGTCAGATGCAGAATGTTCTCAATGCTTTTGTCGACTGAGCTGGTTGTATTTTTATAAAGTGACTTTACTTTCTCTCAGCTTGACATGTTTGTGTTTTTGTTTTGACACATCTTTTCACGCATCTTCTTGCCTTAAACAGGTGGGGATGGCCAGGATGCATCCACCAATGACCCTCAAACTCTGCCGGCTGTTCCCAAAAGTTCCTCTCAAGGCAAAGTAAATCCTTACTCTGTGATTGACATCACTCCTCTCCAACTGCAGCAGCTGGAGCAGCAGCAGCATGGACCCTCCTCTTCCCCTTCCTCTCCAAAAGAGCCTAAGGAAGGGGTGGGAGAAGCCCAGGATATCCACACCAGCCCTGGTGGTATCACTTCAGGATACTCAGTCCCGGTTCCCTGTGGCTATGCAACTCCTTCGGGTGTACCACTAATTACACCAACTTACACCACACCCGTCATCATTCGTCACCTTTCTGTGGATGAAGATGGTAAAGTAGATTGAATGTCAAACAATGTTATTTTCCTGAGCAGAAAGTAGTCTACTTATCAACCAGGTTACTCTTTTATTTGAGTGAAATCCTTCCTCTTCTTTATGCCCTCAAGAGAGGAGATAAAAATCTGATACATAAATGCTATCTCAGCTGCTTCTCCCCTCTGCCTTTTCTTCTTTTCTTGTTTTCCTAAAGCCTTGCCACAAGGAAGCAGGGACTAAATTTAGCCCTCCCCAAAGATCTGTGTTGGCTGTGAGGATTTTCCGGTTTTCCTAAAATTTTCTAGTAGCTGAGTCCAAGCCTGGGGCCTGGCACGCTGAAGAGAGTGATTACACTGCAATTACCTTACTGTGGTCATATAAAACATTGAAATACTCTGATGTTTTAGTAAAACAGGTTGAAAATTCATTGTGTGCACCAATGTGGAAAAGTATTTATCTTTTTTTGCAGAGTTGGAATACTTTTGTGTTCTTTTGGCTACAGTAGACATCACCACAACAGTAACTGCTTTTCCTATTACATGTCTCATGGACAGCAGAAGGGTTATCTTACTGTTGAATCTAATATTGGGCTCAGAGGCACATGTACAAGAACAAATCACCTTAAGTGAATCATGTTATGAGATACAGTAATATTCTGGGTATCGTTAGTGACACTTAGTGGTATTTAAAAGAATTACAGCACAACTTCTGAATCAAAAAGTTGTTGTATAACATGTATTTAGCTGATTTGTGTTACAATTGATATATTGTCAGTTAGGTTAATTCCAATAAATACTTAGATGATGTTACTTACTGTTTTTCTCTACTGACAAAAAAATGTTGATTGAACTGTAAATTTCGCTTGCTTTACAGTTGAATTCTGGGAATTGTAGGGCCACAAACAGGCAATGTTATTGGTAGACTTGTATGTTTTCTTTTGTTTTTTTTTGTGATATTTTCTCTGTTTTACCCCACAGTCACTGTAGTTGGGACTGGCAACACTTCTGCTGACAGGTATGTGGATACTACACAACCTGAACAAATCTACTCTGAGCACTTCTAAGTCCCAGACAGCATGTCTACTTTACCTCTGCATTCACAGTGAAAGTCACAGTTACTGATCAATGCCAACATAGAGAGACCAAAGTGTCTTAACTATATTTTCATACATTCATATCTCTGTATTTTAAACAAAAAGGAATTATTTTTTCCTAGAATTCTGATTTTTTTTGTTTTTGTTTTTCTGCTTCTTTAAGTGTTTTCAGTGAAGAATACCCACCAATAAGAGAGGAAGATGCTTTGGCTAAATGGGCGTCAGATCCAGCCAACACTGCATGGATGGAAAGTAAGGAAGACATCCAAATCAAATCTCCACTAGTCCAGATGCATGTAGCATTTCTGCAGGAGGAATACTGCTGAGGTTTCAGTTCTCTGTTGTACTTGTCTCCGCATAAACAGCACGCCCACAGGGTGATGTTATCTTTTTCTATATGACACAACTCGGATTCCCAGACACTTCCTTCCCAGTTCTTTTGAGGAAGTGGACCCTTGTGTGCTTTTCTTTTAGATCCCTCCTTACTTTACGTCCTGTTTATGGTGTGAAGGGCCTAGACTATCTGGTTATATTAGAGATGATGCATAGGTTCTCATGACAGTTTCCTCTGTCCTTCAGATCCAGATGAGGTGATTTATGATGACGTGCCCAGAGAGAACTCTGACTCCAACACAGGTTTGTGATGTTTATTTTTGAATCTACTTTTCACAAATTCAGTTTTTGTCTGTGGGTTTTAGCTGTCATCGCTGTTCACTTTCATTTTTACATCCTCTTTTTTAACTTGGATATTTTAAATACGTATTTATGGCTAAATGAAAAAGTTAAAGTTTACTCACTTTCATTCCAATATAGCAAATGCTACATTGATATTCACTTGATGAAAGAGTATTAATTTCATTGTTTTTTGATGAGATGTTTAGAGCAACAGCTTGTCATTGAATTCAACTTTACAGCTGCTCAAAAGATTTGCTCTTAGTGAATAAAACTTTAACATGATTGATATTCACAGAATTTATTAAATAGATGTTCTGCTTCTGTGTATATTGTTGTTATTGGGTACATGTTTGTATTCATCTCGCAGACCCAGATGAGATGATCTACGATGATGTTGAGCTTGGCGAAGAGGGGGGCTGTAATAGTTCCCTCGACAACGGTTGGAGCTCTAGTGAGTTTGAAAGCTACGATGAGGCCAGTGACGGGGAAGGTCGTGGTGAGAACGGCCTGCCACACGCCTTTATGAGAGGAAAGCCACCCCAAAGGAAAACACATGTATGTATAAGTGAAGCTGGGGTTGCCCCGACAACAATCACAACAGCTGCATTCCTAATCAAGGAATACGTCATTGTGTAATTTCTAAATTGATAAAGGGGCTTATGTTCTTCTTCTGTCGTCTGCTTATCACCCTCGATTTTGATCTTCATGTTGTATTTTGATTTTTGTTAGATTTGTAGAACTGTAGCTCGAATCAGATCCTTTTATTGTGCTTGTACCTTGACCTTTGGTCATGATAATTATGCATCAATTTTCAGTAATGTATAGACTTGTTCATTGTTAGATCTTAAATCAAACATTTGCATCTGCAGACCTGGAATAGATCATTCTGGCTTACAGTCAGCTTGCTTTGATCTGTAATGTTTTGGATTGTGGTTTTGAGAATTTAACTGTATTCAGTGCACCCTAGCCAGAACATACAAATGCCAGTCGCCGCGAACAATATTTTGGTAAAACTACCCCTCTAATTGGAGAGCTGCTTGAAGTCTATTTTTTACTGCATCTTACACATTGATTTGCAGATTTGAACCAGGAAAAGGTCACATGAGGCATGCAACAACATCACAAACATTGGTACTTTTTAAGATTTGGCACCCCTGCAGTTTAGAGATGCAATTCCCCCTCTTGCTGACAAAAGTAGTCAATCTGATATACACAGATCTCTTGTTTTCTCCATTACATCACTTTGTTCCGTCTCCTTACTTCTGTCTATTTTAAGAAAACCAAATTCACTCTTGCAGAAAAAGATATCAGTATTTGCTTTGTGGGCCATCTGCATTGTAACTTCTCTCCAGAGATCACCCATACCCAACCCAAATTACACAACCCAACCCAGGAACAGGCATTTGGTTCCTCCTGAGTGGATTTCATTGTCTTCTAAAATGTCAATTCAAAACCAAAATTTGGAGACGCTAATTTGGGGAAAACAGTCCCATAATGTTGCGTGAAATTATTATTATTTTTTTGCATGAGAATGAAGTCAGCAGTCCAGTGACACATATCAGCATCACAGTGAGGTTCTAAGGTGCAAGTTCATTCCAAAACCATAACCAGTAACACCTGCTTTGCTTTCGTTTAGCTCTCTCAAGATCTGACACGCTTGAAAGAACACTATGAGAAAAAGATGAAAGATCTAATGGCAAATACAGTGGGAACGGTAGAGCTGCAGCAGCTAAAACAGAAACACGAGCAGAAGGTAAACTACCTGAGGCTCACCTCGCCTGTCTGTGCTAGACAACGTAGTTCCATCCCTTTGTTCTCAGTCTAGCTAACCACTCTGGGTGCCTCTCGCTGGCCCAGTACATCCTGCTCTGATATGAATGGCTTGTGGTGATGGTGGTATTGGTGATGGGTTTGCATTGCAGTTCATTAGCTCTTTGTCTGCTGCACTGACCTGTTCTGCTATACGTTTATGCATTGGAGGCCATAATGCTGAGGATTCATTTTTAACTAGCATTTGTTACATTTTACATTCACCACTTATTTTATGTTTACCTCCATTCCTACTCTAACACTGCTCTTCCTCTACTTAGCTCAGTCGAGTAGCTTGTTAACCACAGGATTACTCAAAGTAGCCTTAACTTTGTAACCATAAAAATAGCTTTGTGTTATTTTTGTCAAAACAGATAATAGTGTGTTTTTGTCTCATCAAAGATGCAAAAGCTGATGAAGGCAGCTAAAGAAGGGACCAAAGATGGGCTGGAGAAAACCAAAGCTGCAGTGAAGAAGGGACGCTCTTTCATCAAAACAAAGTCATTCTGTCAGGGTATGTGATTCAATCACGGCCGCTCTTCTTGATACCAGGAATACCTTCAGCTTCATTCCCTTCCAGACATGTTTATTTTTAATTACTGTGCAAGTTATAGAGTAAAGAACAGTGTCTGTAATTTTGCTGGAGTGACATTTTCCCTCGCTTCAGCATGAAGACTGTTTTCTTTACTGAGAATACTGTTTATAGTCTGTCCTATTAAACTTGCAGAGAGGAAATCAGCCTGTTTTGAGGATGAGGAGTCTGAGCTCTTCATTGAGGTGGACTGCTTCAATGTAGAGCCAACACTTTGTACAGCACCGGAGGGTCTTTCACAGCAGCAGGTGATAAAGAGTTCTTATCACAGTAAATCTACTCTTTTACTGCGTGAATTTGGGTGTAAAGACTAATGGTTTTCTTTTCTCTACAGCTGGTGAGAAGATGTATATTGGGATCTATTTTGGAAAGTGAGAAGAACTATCTCGATGCACTGAAGAGGATATTAGAGGTACGGAAGTGCAGTGCAGTCATTGTGAAACCCCCTTTCAAAGGTTTGTTATTACAGTTCACTCTCTCTCTCTCTCTGCTTTATCAGCAATATGAGAAGCCTCTGTCCCAGATTGAGCCGAGGCTGCTGAGCGACAGGAAACTGAAGATGACCTTCTATCGTGTGCGCGAGATCCTGCAGTGCCACTTCCTGTTTCAGATAGCCCTGGCAAGCCGTGTGGCAGAGTGGGACAGCCTGGAGATGATCGGGGATGTTTTTGTAGCATCGGTAGGTCATACATAGTTTTGAATCCTTTTTAAAGAGCTGCTCCAGTATATTGAGGGTAAAATGAGAGATAGGGTTGCCCTGAAATTTTGTAACATACTTTTTGTTGGATGTACTTGTAATTTATGGTCTCTATGATTGTGTAAAGCACAGTTTTGCTCCTGTCAGACTGTACCTACTTCAAAGACTCGTGCTCTCAGGCAGACTCAGAACATCAAGCTTTGGTCTTTCGTGTTCATACTTTAACCTTTTCTTTCCTTTTGGCTGCTTGACAACATCAAAGCAAAAGCCCACATCTCCAACAGCCATGTTCACCCTGTCACTTCCTTATTTTTTATACCTAAATCGACCCCTGGCATGGCATCAGACGGGCTGTGAGACTTGTTTAAAGTCTGTTCGCTGCCCTCTCTAACCTCAAAATCCACAGTCCTAGTACAACAGGACTAACACCGTGGGAGCTTGTTTTGGGAACAGAATTAAGTACCCGTACCATGATCTACAATGAATACGATCAAATAAATCAACCAAAGCAATAAAGTAAAAACATACCTGAGGGATGATTTTACTTTATGCACCAGTACAGAAACTTGTAACACAGACTTTTTAGAAACAGAGAGTAAACGCCACAGATGTTAAGGTGGTACAGAAGGCATATATTAAATTGATCCTCCTGACATGAATAATTTAACCTTCAAGTAATGTAAAGCCTCAATAAAATAAAACTCCTTTTTATGACAAACATCAAACCCAGCGTTATGAATTTATTGCATTGAAAGTGTGCCAAAGCTAAATCTCATGAACATGTCATAAGATTGCGGACCCCAGGAAGAGTAGCTGCTACTTAGGTAGTAGCTAATGGGGGATCTAAGTAAATAGATTAATAAATAAATGTCACAGCATCAAGACGGGATAGTAGCACACAATGACATATATGCACACTGAATTCTAAACTGCAGGGAAATAATTAGAAGAATGTGCATTAAAAATGGAGGTAGAATATTTTCTATCAAGCTTTGACAATTTCAATATATATTTTTTTTAAGTGTGTGACTAGATCCTGGTCAGTCAAATACTCTGTTTATGAAGCTACTACAAGTAATGCAGTTGTAGCAGAGACTGTAAACCAGACAGCTTTTGGCCAGTCCTCTTTCTAAGTTAAAGGCCGACAGATTTAGAATACTCTCCCATCAGAAATAGACAATTTAACTGGCTCCAAAGCTTTTAATAATCAAACATAATAACAAAATCAAAGGCAGGTCTGTGAACGCTTGCATACACATTTGTTGTGCTTATTTGGTATTTCTCACTTATGTTTATGAGTGCTGATTCATGTCTACTTTTCTCATTAGTTTTTGATCTTCACTATGATTGCTTGTCTATGTCTGTTTAATTGTTGACCTTTAAGCATTGATATAATGAGTTGTCAGTGTCTGTTTTACTGTGATTGTTAGGTTTTATGTCTGTTATGTATCATGTGCCTCATTTGTAAAAGCATGTGGACTGGGATTTGGACAAGGCAAGGAGTCCTTTATACACCACATTGGTTGTACTATGATAAGATGGAAGAACACCAACATGTATTATCTCTGTCATATGAACAGAATAGATTCGGATAAATAGATATATAGATACATAGATAGATATAGATATAGATAGATAGATACATAGAGAGAAAGATAGATTGAGAGATATAGATATAGATAGAGGGATAGATAGATACAGATAGATAGAAATAGATAGATAAATATAGATATAGATAGATAGATGGATGGATTAAAATTATAAACTCACTGCAGTAACCATAACTACTGTTAGCACATAAAGCTGTGCACACTACACAAACCAAAAACCTGCTTTTACACTCTCTAACATCTGCATGTGTAGACAGAGTAAATTTAAAGAAATCTAAAAAATTTTCACACAGGCTTATTTCACTGTAACAAAGCTGAAGAACTCTGAAGGGGTTTATTTCTAAAACCTGAATCTTCAAATTGTACTTCAGTTTGGGGATGCTGCTGATAAAAAAATAATTACTTTTGCATAATGTCAAATGATCTGCGCATCATCAGTTAACATAGACACTCTGCAGTGACACTTAATCTATGTGTAGGGTTGTTGTCACCGAGCTGTCTGACATCACTGGAAACTGTTCATTTTTTTCTCTCTTCGTGTAAGTAATTAACGTGATTACATCTGTGTTTCTTTTAACAGTTTTCAAAGTCCATGGTGCTGGATGCCTACAGCGAGTATGTGAACAACTTCAGCACAGCCATGGCCGTTATTAGAAAGACATGTGCCTCCAAACCTGGCTTCCTGGAATTTCTCAAGGTTAGAGTAAGCCAAAAAAGGCATTGTAGAGCATTACCGTGACCGAAAATGTAATATTTTCCAATCACAACTTTTGAAGAATACCATGGATCCGTGGTTATCAGTTACTGTAATTTATCCAAAGGTTTATTTTATTAAAATTTCATTCATAAGATTTAGTCCCTTACAAGAGCTTACTCAGAAGTGACAGCATTTTCCAGATATAAACAACTCCTTTCTGCCCCCATGCTTCCAAGCCCTCCACTGTTTGAGTTCTCCAAAATTTCATCTCACCTGCAGCATCGTCAGGAGACCAGCAGTGACCGAATGACTCTGTACGGCCTGATGATGAAACCTATCCAGAGGTTTCCACAGTTCATCCTCCTCCTTCAGGTAAGTTGTGTGACCGGCTGTGCCAAAAAGATGGTGCAGTTTGTGGATTGGACAGCAGAGGGAGTGCCGTTCATGTAAAATCGAGGCTTGTTGTTTTTCAAAACGTTCACCTCAAGGGGGACCAAGGGAAGGCTCTGAAGGGAAATGGTTTCCTCAGATCTCTTGTTATCTTGCCTTGAAATATTTACTTTTCCAGTGTCTCTTGCAGAAAAATATGAGACACTGTGTTGTTTATTTTGGAGTATAAGCATGCAAAATACAATTTAAAAGACCCCCAATACAAATCAAAAAGCTGTTTATGATCCTGCAGCTTTTGATCTAGATTTATTCTATAAATAAATCCTTTGCAGTCATGAAGATGTGTACTATACATCAAACAAATTTAGGCTGTTAAGACGTTGGACAGTATTTATCCCCACTAACAAAAGTGAGTTCTTTTTGTATCCCCATCAGGACATGCTGAAGAACACACCAGTGGGTCATGCAGACCGTCTGCCCCTGCAGATGGCTCTGACTGAACTGGAAACACTGGCAGAGAAGCTCAATGAAAAGAAGAGGGAGGCTGACCAGCGCTGTGAGATCCGTCACATCGCTAAGGCCATGAACGAACGCTACCTCAACAAGGTCAGCCCACCGTTCAGTGTGTGTGTGTGAAAATGAGTAAAGAATGATGTTGTTATCTTTGTAGTCAATATGAAAATTTGTAGCTGATGTTTTTATTCTTTTAGCCATCAAATTTCTCTCTGCTCCAGTAGGAGATGTTATCAGATAGTTGGGCTTCACATTTTGTCATGGATTCTCTTTCCTTCATGGCGTGTTTTAAGCTCATGTGCTCTAACACCAACCAGTTTTCCACAAGGTGTGATTATTCGTCTATCCGCAGCTATCAACTCTGGAATCTGTATACAGTCATGTGTTTACAGGATACCCTGCACTGGGCAGAAGAGTTTGGCTTCTCGTAGCCTTAAATTGCTTAGAATCACTGTTGATCGCTGTATATTATATGCTGTAAGCACCAACAGAGGGTTTCTCAGTAGAGGGTTATAGGAGTGGCACAATCACGTTTAATCCAGAGTTTTATGCTTTTAGACTACCATTATATCAAGAACTAGATGTAAAACATGCTAGATGGGGGTTTTCTGAATGTGTTCTCTAAGTTTGGGATGGTTAAATAAAAAAATATTAGTGATCAGAAATCCTGCAGAGTTTACCGCTGACTCATGTATATATATCTTTTTCATCAGCTTTTGAGTAACGGCAGCCGCTACCTGATCCGCTCAGACGACATGGTGGAGACGGTTTCTAATGAGCGTGGTGAAATTATCAAAACCAAGGAGCGACGCCTCTTCCTGCTTAATGATGTCCTCATGTGTGCCACACCCAATATACGGTAAGCAATACCAGAAACCAGACCTGCTCCGGTCTTTCCTCCTAAATGAAGCGAAATATTCTCTTATAGCTTCACCATCTAACTATTTTAGAAACTTTCCCCCACGCGGATGATCCTGTTGTGCTCTTGCCCACTCTGAGAACCTCATCTGGGATTTTCTGCCAATAAAAATCCTTTCAGCCGAGCTCACTAAAATTAGTCACTTCAACCAAAAGGAAACTCTCCACAGTAGAGACAGACTGTAAGCTCTGAATGCAACTGGTGTCCTGGGAGTGACTTTTGACCACAGTGCGTGTCTGCATTTGGACTGAACTGTACCCACTGTGGATTACTGCATAGCCAAGAGTGATGGAGAGCCCCATTCATGGGCTTTTCAGCTCCTGTCCTGTAATTGTGACATGAAGGCCACCACATGCTGCCTCTGGGAAACTCATCCAAAGAATTGTTTTTCTGGATGAGTGACATTTGACCCCTCATTTTTCAACATCTGTGGGTCTCCTCCACACACTCTGATATAACTTTCTCAATTTTCTTACTTTAATGTATGTCATATTAATGAAACACACACAAGCATGTAACCTTCATCTGTATTTTCTTCTCTGTCAAGATTTCAGGATGGCAGTGGAAGCGGTAATGGCAACGTCCCACTCGACCAGAAGTTCCTCCTGAAGTGGAGCGTGCCTTTGAGCTTTGTGGAGGTGGTGGAATTTGGATCCAGTGAGGACATGGCCGACAACAGTCACTATCAAGCACCGCATTCAGGGGAGAAGGTGGTCATCAATGCAAAACCAAGTATGGACCAAAGTGTCACACTCTGTTTTTCATGAATCTGTCTGTGTTTCCCCTCTTTAATTTGGCACTAAAGGTCAAAAGGTCAGGTAGAAAAGACATTAAGTCCAGTTGATGAATCTATTACGACAGTGTTAATGAGTAGAGGCTAAAACCTGCCATGGGCCACAAAGGTTTTTCTCTCTTTAATATGAGTTCACAGCTGCTGGTCAGTAAAGTGCTTTCGCTTAATGATTGGTCTATTTAATTGTCAGGGTTAATTAAAGGTGAGGATCTCTGTGCTGTAGAGGAACTCTTTAAAATGAGTTTAAATCGTTGTTGAAAGTAACCGAGCGGTTGATTCTTATGATAAATACTTCAATATTGCACATTTACAAAATGGTGTCAGCTCTGCAGAGACCATTAAGTCAATCTACGTGTGTTTTTTCCGTTAGCGGTCCTCTGCTCTGCTGGCAGCCAACTCAGATGATTTTAGTCTTTCCACTGGTCTCTTCCCCCGTCACACACAGCTGCTCAGCCACTTTAAAAGGCCCAGATCAGACACACAAGAGGCATAATGAGGGTGTATGATTGCGGTAACAGCACTGCACTTTATATTCCAGGGACTATATTTGTTTTTGTATGTGTTTGTGTATGTTTGTGCCCAGTCAATGGCAGTGCACATCATAGGGCTGCTAAGTCTCGAGTACGGTGTTTTCCCCTGGTTTGTTAAAGGTTGTATGTTTTGGAGCTGAGGTCAAAGGGTTGATATTTCTGTTGCCGTCAGTAATCTTTTCCACAGAGATGCAAATGTGCTGTACAGATCAGGGATTCCCAACCTTTGAACTACATGGACCAAACAGCAGCGGACATTTCTGATGGACAACAGATTATTAAACATCTTATGGCAATCCTCAGCTAATATTATGTCATGATAGATCAAGTAAACCAAAAGCATACTGAAACTAGGACGGCTGTAAAAAAAAAAAAACAACAATTTTTCAACTTAATTCATTGTCTTTTTTGCCTTTCCAGGACAAAACTAAGAAGTAAAAAAAGAGGAGACAGACAGAGAGAGAGACAAAAACAGAAAAAGAAAGAGTCATATTTCCACAACCTAGATACAGAGTTATTTGTGCTCATTTGTACTCGAAGAGATTATTGCATGTACTGTACATATGAGTACACCCATGCTTACTATATGCCTATCACATGCCAATACCCATCTCAGCCCAGCTTATTATGTAATGTACTGTAAGTGCACACATAAATGGCTCTCATCTGCATCTGTGTAAAGTACAGTAAAGATGGTTGCCATTTTCTGTATTTCCAGTGAGTGATGTTTTTTTATCATCCAGTCTGATGCTGAGCAATCAAGCTGTCATCATAATTCTGGATTTTGATTATTTTCCTCTTAAGTCTCTAAAAGCGTCCCTGTTTATAGGCCAAAAACCAAACTTCTTAATGTTACCTATTTCACCATGTTTTCTCTTCATTAGTCACAAGTGACCTCTCACCCTGCATGTTTTGCATGTGCAGCTTTGACGCAAACAAATCCTGATAAGTAAAATGTTAAAACTTTAGCTTTATTAAAATTTAATCATAAAAAGTTTGTTTTAGCTCTAAATAGAAACAATTTACCTTGTGATGGGGAATTGAAGGTTGGCCATTTCCAGGAAATCAAACAAAACCCAATACTATGTAAATGAGCGTTAGATCCACTCTCTTGGTTCTGACTAGGTTTTCATGCCAAGGCCTGGTACTGGTCTCAGGCCTGGTTTTTGAGGACCTTTGCTATAGCTCACCCTCTCTCACTCTTTCATTCTCTCTCTCTCTCTCTCTCTCTGTAATCTCCTGTCTTTAATACCATTACATCATATTGAGTCCTTTTCTGCCAGGTGTCACAGTGTCACATCTATCACTGGATACATCTTGTGATGGTTCTTTGATTGTCAGCATGGTGTCCCTCTGGTGTGTTTTATTACTGATGGATTATTGTCAGAATACATTTAGACCCTTGCTCACAGAATATAACAGCTACAGCTGAAAGTGAATCTAAGTTGGACGTCGCTCAAGTTATTTTATGAGTCCTTCTGCTGTGGGAGATTGTAATGCAGATGTCAGCATGATAAGTTTATCCTCTATCTGGAACCTTTTGCATTCACACTCCCACATCCACTCAAACTTGTCTGTTAATCGTCTGTACATTTTGAATTTTCAGCCTTTTTTTAACATCTTAGCTGTACTCCATTTTATACCATTTTAGCTCCACCTAAGCTTCATTTCATGCAGTCTCCATTGCACCAATCTCCTGCTCGACCACCTGTCCTCCTTCTAGACTCATATTAACAGATGGCAGAGACAGACCTGAGTAACGTCTGCTCTGTCTGTGAACCTGTGTGTCAGTTTCAGCCAGGAGAAAACCCCAGAGACTCATCTTAACCTTATGTGATGAAGAAGATACTCTTCTTGAAGGCCTGAGGAAGGCCATATGGGTCTTAATGTGTCATGCTTTGTCCTTACACACCGCAATGTGCAAGAGATTAGACTTACATAAGTAAATGGTCAGACCACATTCCCTTAAATAGACACTATACATAGAACTGCAGATTCCTTTTACTCTGTTAATTGGCTTCACTTAGTTTACTCACTTATTCCCCAACCAGCATCAGCTCTGTGTGGGTCTGTGGGAATGTGTGTGCATAGGAGAAGGCCTGTTGCCAAAGGAACTTTTGACAAGTGGAAAGGATTGTTTTCTCAGTCCACCGTGTTCAGCCAAAAGCAGCTCGTTGACCAGCCCGCTCGCTGACAATGACAGGACTCTCCAGAATATGATGTCATCTCTCTTCATGTCACTCTGCTTAGTTCATCTCCTCTTTACACCACACAGTAATCAGACCACCTCGCACAGTAGCCATTTAAAGCCACAATCCCTCTCTTTAACATGTAATTTGTAGATATTTAGTTTGTTTTTTAGGGCACTGTGTAATTGCAGGGATGACTGGTGTGATTCCTGTGATGCTTCCAGGGTCTGTTTTGTTAGGAACCTCGTGGCATTTGGCAGTCTCACAAAGAGCTATTCAAGAAGCTGGATCCAGACTGAAATGGGTTACACAGAGCCAGTTTGCTTTTCTGTGGGAACGTCCAATTCAGTCATGGTTGAATTCGATTCTTCCCTTTGCCTTTGAACTGTTCAGTACAGATAACGCACGAACAAGTTGATGTTTATGAGTAATGTTTATGAGCTCAAGGGTTAGCTTCCATTTTACATACATTTACATTTACCAAAGGAGATAAAAGCAGGAAGAGAAGAGATTAGGCTCTAACACTAGCCTGTTTTTGTTTTAATCTCCAGCATTTATATTATGAAGTCACATCTATAGGATTTGATATTAATGGGGGTCTTGGCGTGACACTATGTCATATTATTTTGGCTTTGTGTAAAGCTCTATATGTGCTCAATATAGAGCGAGCATTAGAGGTTTATTCAGTATTTCTGTCCTGACCTGAATTCAGCCCCCTGTGCTTTCTCTGAAACAGATGATCCATGAAAATTGCATAGAGTGCAATTAAAGACTGCAGATAGCAAAATTGAACAAAGAGCATGGCAGCAAACAAGTACAACACACTCTTGTTTGCTCCTATCAGAGATGAAATAAAAACTAGATAACTTCAGATAACTTCATTATTAGATCCAGTGACATGAGTAAAGCACAGTTAGAAATCACAAATGTGTGAACACAACTGTAGGCCTGCTGTGTGTCTCTTTGTGTCTGGTGGCGTTTATGCTCGTGCAAGGATGAGGATCTCTTAGCCTCCTCTGCAAAAACCCAGAGGGAGACATTTTCGAGTAAGAGACCACCTACAAATGCAAACTCCGGTGATGCAAAAACAGGGATAAAAGTTTCCCCGGGATGCCCAGTCAAGGAGACCTTCGGGAGAGGACTACACTGGGTTGCCATGGCGTTGAAGCACCCGGCGGACTCTGTGTGCCTATTGTGCAGAAAGACGAGGAGGAGGAGAAAGTAGAAAAGCAAAAGCAAAGAGTCATTTTGGTGCCAAAGACTCAAATGCTGTGTAACCCTTTAGTCCCTGGTGCACTAAAATGCAGTTGAGGTTTGATTTGAGAGAGGCCTGCCCTGGTTAAATGAAGCGTTTGATCAAATGACCTCAATAACTTTTTTTTTTTGAAGATTTGGTCAACTGACATGCATTCCTCATGTGCTGCTACTGGTGGTGGAGAGGGGGGAAGGGGAGGGAAAAAAATAAAAGTTTGTTTTGAACAAATTTCTGATTTTTGACCAATTATGTTCAGTATGTTTACTTAATCTGATTCTGATGGCTATGATGTTCATTTTTGGCAAATGTTTTTTCTGACAGTTAAGCCTTTAGGTTAAAATAATGACATGAATTGAGTGGAGAGAGAAGAGAAGGCCTGCCAAATCTTTGATGAGCCATGCGGTTATGTTCTGCACAGCAGGGTTTTATGCACACAAAGTAAGCCCTCACCTTCTTTTTGATACAGAACAACAACAACACAGAAAGAGCTTCAATCACAGCACATCACTCAGGAACACAAGAGTGAGATATTTTCAGTTCTAAAGACCACCTATCCACATAGCTTTTGCAGCATGCATGGACTTGTATAAGAAAGGATGATGTATGCTGACATGCAGGAACAAAACATTTTTGTGGCCTCTGAACTACGTTACCATGAGATCACGGTGTTCTTGTCAACAAGCGAGCACACTGGTGAGATTCACTGCCAAGTTTGCAGAGCTGTCACTGCTCCCTGTGGGAACCCGACTGATTGGCCGTTATTGATCTCTGTCTTTGTTTGTCCAGTTTAACTGCTCCTCTCATCAAACCTGTCTCAAACGTTGATGCCTGTATATCCACGTGTCTTCAAGGATAATGTTGAAGACACCAGCCTTTAACAGCTCATCCTGATTTCTTTTTAAATCTCTTTTGTATTTTTATTATTTGGGTTGCAAAGATTACGCTGTCTTAAAAGCAATTTGTGTGTGTGTGTGTGTCTGCAATTTTCCATAGACAAGCTGTACATGGGCCCCGGTCAGTTGTACCAGGATCTGCAGAACCTGATCCATGACCTTGGCCTGGTGAACCAGATCTCTGGCATGATCTGCAGCCTCAAAGGCAACTACCAGGTGAGATACACATCAAGCACTGAATTAAAGTTGTGTCATTTTAACTTTTCTGGTCCATATCGGATAATTGGGGTATTTGATAAGGACGATGTTAAAAGAATTAAAATCCTCAAATCTATTTTCCTCTCTGTCATGTCTCGCGCCCCCAGGCCACTGTAGGTTCCCCCTTCCTTTAAGAGCGCTCCCCATTTCGCACACACACCAGTGTAAACAAACATGGCGTTTGCAAAAGAAGGTGATAATTTTGTGGCTAAAAGGGGCAAGAGCAAGTCAGTTGTGTGGAATTGGTACGGCTTCGCAGTTTTGGGCTGAAGAGCAAACCACTCCCTGCACCAAAGTCTGTCTAAAGGTGCTATCAATCTGTCCACACAGAAACAAATTCAGGAGTACACACTCAAGTTTTTTGTTATATCGCAGTTTCATCCACACGGAAATGGCGTTTTGGGTGACTCTAAACAGTACTTTTTGAAAATGGATACAAGAGTGCATAAATCCGTGAACGAATACCATTTCCCTTCGTGTGGATGCTTCTGCATCTCTCGAAACGATTATGTGACACACGGCGTAACTCTTTTATGGCGGCTGCGGGTGTCCCGCCAAAACAGCCTTTATACGTGTGCTTTATACTCTTCTTCTCTCTTTCATGCATATCCTGGGCAGCATTACAGTGCCACTTAATGGCTTGGCATATCCACTACATTGTTTTCAGTGGTTTCGTTTCGAGAGATGATAGAAAAACATATTTTTTTATAATGAAGTTTGTTGAAGTTGTCATTGAATAAAAAATTGAAATTGAAAATTGAGGTTTTCAGAGAAAAAAATCAGGATTTTATTTTTGGCTGAAATCAAGTATAATTCAATCATGTTTGAAAAGGGCAATCCCACTTCAAAATTCATAAATCTGCTTTGCCAAGAAAAAACTAGGGTATGTTATTGATGTCACTTGACTAACTCTGAGTTCTTGGAAAAGTTAGACTGTCTGTTAATATTTGTGCAAGCATGAACAAAATTGACATTGACTAATGTTCCTGCAGTGTACCTCAGGACTCTTAAAATCACATCCATGGTGTTTCCCTCTGGACGTCCATAAGGGCTGGGCTGTTATGATGAGATATAATGTTCAAGCTGTGGAATGTGCCAGTGTGGGCAATTTGTTTCTTGGAAACCAGGAGTCTCTTAAGTCTCGATTTGCACCATTCAAGCCTGTCATGTCATTTTACCACACACACGCATACACAAGCCTGTGTGTGTGTGTGCAGTTGGAAAGAAGGTTTACTTTGCAGAACACAGCGTTAGTGTGTGAGGTTGTGTTTGTGCTGTGCTGGTAGGTCTGTTAGAGGCAGAGTGGGAGGCTGAGTAGCAGAGCAGCTCTCAGAGAAGATGTGTGAGGATGGGAAAGGAAAGAAAGAGGCAAGGGTGAGAAGTGTGAGCTATTCACTGCCGATTTGAAAAACGATGCTGACAGTACACTCAAAATAGATCTCTGCTGAAATGTCTATTATGTATCCTGAAAACATGTTTCAATGGTCTAAGGCTTTTCAGCCATTGGACGCCTCTGAAAACAGCTTCAGTATAACAATGCGATGATTCCCCAGGTTTTTGAAAGTCTGCTCGATTTTCAAAGGATTTGCTCATATTTGGTGTTTGAATGTTGTGGTATAAACAAATAACTGAATCCAAAAGCCGCAATGAATGTTCAGTTGATTAAAGACTTGGTAGCCATTCAGTGATGAATTATTTTCCACAGTGTCATTTTGTTCCTTTGTATTTTGTCCCGTACTCTAGTTTTATTGTCCCCTAATATCATGAGTCTGCTTTTGCTTGTTTTTCCTCCTTTTTTGTGTCTCTCCACTTTTCTTCTATTCAGAATGTGAACTCCACAGTGGCGCAGGACTGGGTATCAGGTCTCCAAAGACTGATAATGAAAAAGGAGGAAGAAATCAGGGCAGCTGACCGGTGTCGGATCCAACTCCAGCTACCTGGCAAACAAGACAAGTTTGTGTTTTTGCATAACTACGTATTTAGAGTTCTTGACACTTCCTTAAATCAGTCTTTCTGGCTGCATAAGCAGTATTTTACCAGCCCCCAGTCTCCGTCCTTAACACCCACCCTTGATTTGTTTATCCTGGGTTTTCCTCTTTATCCCTTGTTAACCTGCTTTCTCCTGCTGTCCTCTCAGTCCCTCTGCATACTTTCAGCTATAAGAGAGATTATTACAGTACATTTAGAAATTTGGAAAAACAAGTTCCTCCACCAGCTGTAATCTGAGGCATGAATCTCAGTGGAGCAGTTGTGTCTCCGTCTTTGCAACCAAAGGCTGCCCAGTTACTGCAGCTGCTTCTGGACACAAATAATCGTGTCACACATTCATTACACACACTATTATAGTACTGCACGTGGTCCCCCAAGGGTGCACCTTGTCTTGGCTTCTTCACATTCCCTCTTTTTCCCACTTCCTCGTCCCTGCAGCACTCAGATGGGGGGATTATCCACGGGTATGTTTGGAAACACAGCTGTGCATCTGTCATTCCTCTCATGATCCCTCAATCCTGAAACACACAAAACCCAACACCAGCAAACATCAGTACCACACACACACTACAAATGCACACAGTTTGTGCTCACGAGCTGCTGGCGGAAGTGATAATTGACATTGACATGTATCACATTTCTGTTGCAGTCTGCTAGTCAGTCAGGATTGAATTGACAGATTCATGTCGCCTCAGGCTGGGATTCACATAAAACAAGCTTTCTATCGGAACGTATTTGGTGTTTTGCTATAATAGGTGCATTTCAGTGGATTATTTTGTGCACAAAATGTAAAATTTAAACAACTCTCATGATAAATTTTTTATGCAAATGCAGACCTCTGTGATTTCCAGAGTGTTGACACATTTTATGGCACATGATTCATTCACAGCAGTCTTTTCACAGCATTTCTGATGTTTAGGCTTTTATAATTCATGGACTGATTTTGAAATATGAGTACTTTTTAAAAAACTGGATGTTAAGACTAGATAAAAAAGGGCAAACAAAAATTTTACTGACAAGATTTAATCTATCTAGGTTGTAATTTGAAAGGCCTGTTAGAGCCCGATATATAACAATACCCAAAATGTTATTTAAAAAATTGTAATCACTAACCTAAAATGTAATGAGTTGCTACAAAAAGTTACTACGTTTTGGGCTTAGCATCTTGTTACATTATCAACCACTTATTAAATTTTTTTTTTTTTTTTTATCAAACATTTTGGGTCATCATTACATATCAGGCTCTAGCAACTTTATCTACATTTTTTATGTCAGGGAGTCCCAATGTGTGATGCTGTTTCACCGTTCAGAGAGAGCGGGGAGAGTTATTGAGAGGAAACACGACTTAGATTTGTACAAGACAAGACCAGCAAAGATAGAAGATACACCCTTTTGTCCACTCCAGAATCACACAATGCAAAGGCTCTTCACTAGAGCCCTGAAGAAAAAACCTTTTTGAATGTGTAGTACATGAGTGTATGATTATAGCCCAGAATAGATAGTAAGGATTTTGTGTTTATTGTTTACTGTGAACAGAAGTGTTAAGATCTAGCTGTCGTACATTTTGAATAAATATAAGTGGCTCAGGGAAACATACACATTTATAACATTATATTGTAAATTCTACATAAAGAAATATCAACAAATTAGACATAAAGGGACCTTTTGCATATTTGTGCAAAGTGATGACTTAAACATAATGAAAGTTAGATTTTTATCTCAGGGTTCTGTTCATGGGTGTTTATCTCTCTCTCTGTCTGTTTTGCAGGTCGGGTAAACCCACTTACTTCAGTGCAGTGTTCAACACTCTCAGCCCAGCCATCAAGCAGTCATGGATCAGTAACTTGCAGATGGCAAAGCTGGCTCTAGGTACAGTGTAGTGCTCAGCTCAGCCCGGCTGTAAATGCTCCTGTCTTAGTTACACATTTGTTTTTCTATTGTTGTCGTCTGTCCGTGTATTTATTTCCAAAGGAGCTGTACTTTGTTGCTTTCTGCTTTACCTATCTCTTCATTCTGTTGTCTTTGACGATAAATATGATAGGTAACTGCAATACTACAAACACCATCAGGCTACTTAAAGAGAGGTTATTTAAATACTCTTGTGCAAAAGATGTGCTCTTCATATATTCGGATTAAATCAAGTACTAACTATGTGTGTGTTTTTGTGTGTGTGTGTGTGTGTGTGTGTTTGTTACATCAGAGGAAGACAACCTGCAGGGCTGGTTCTTTGCAGAGGATGATGGGAATCACATCAAGAAGCAGAAGCACCCTCTCTTGCTCCGGCAAATGCCTGTGGTCATGTCAAAACTACAAGAGTTCAAGGTCAGACATTTCCCTTTCCCATACGCTTGCTAACTGACAGAAAATTGAAGATAATCTGGGGTCGCTTTGCTCATTTGTTTGGGGCTTGGGGCTAATTTTGCAAAGATGGTGGGTTTGATCCCTCTGTGGGTCAATGCTCACACTGTAGCAGCCCTAACAGTATTTAATTAGACATCTTATTCAATTTCTTATTCTGTGATTTGCCCCTAATGTAAACTTACACTGTTGTTGAGGAGACAGCCCTATTCCACCAGTGTAGGTCAGTCACTTGGTGAGTAGTTCTACATTTCCTGTCAAATACAGGGGATTAATTTGTTTAATATACAAAATAAGCTTGAAGAGATATATTTTAGTATAGAGTTTAGTAGACTAGCCACATGTCTACTAAACCCACCTACCAACCTAGTGGTACTTTGCCAGTGCATTCAAAGGCGCAAGAGGAGTCCTCCAAAAACTAAAGCCAGAAAACTTGCATGAGCTTACAGTGAAAGGTACTCTAAAGATGTTCATGATGACTTCATGTGCTGTGCTCCTTCTCTCTTACACTCTGTATACTTGTCCATTATGTATTCTTCTAAATACCTACCCAAACTACAATATAAGAAATCCAAAATAAAAAAAAATAAAAAAATTCCTGTCAAAATAGAGTTGCGTATAACTGCCAGTTTATTATTTCTAGTCATTAATTATACAATATTTTATCTAAAATATCAGTTTTACTCGTCACAAAGCCATTGTGAATATCCATGATGGCATTTTTACTCTAATTTTGAAAATGGCAACCTGGAACATTGATATCTGAAATGGTCATTCATATCTGGTCTGATGTAAGACTTAAAACTGTGAACAAATACCTGAAGAACCGTAAAGTCAGGGTTGCACAAAGACTGTATTCTGTCTCATTCAAGTCAAACTAAAGATCGTTTGAGTTACATTTAAAGTGTTATTATAGATTGATTGAGATGTTACTTTTTTACTGAGAGAAAGTTTTCCAGTGTTGCAACAGGAAGGGGTGAGGTTAGGTTGTGTACTTAAACAGTGTCCTATACTCTCATCCCAAGTCCCTGTACAATTCAGTCAAACAGTAGCCCTCTAAAGTAGGTTTAGTCTATAAACCAGGCAGTTAATGACCTGATGGTGTCAAAGTCATTGAATTGATCCCTGTACAAGCCAGCTTTCACATTATTGATCGAACATGTGACTAGTTAATCATGGGCTGAGATAAAGTGTGATATGTTTTGTAGTGTACAAGTACAGTGGACTAATCACCTCCTCGTGTACCTTTGGATTTCCTTGTTTCTTTTCATTAGAACACGCTATGACACAACATTCACTTTAGGACTGGAGTCAGGTCACTGACATTGACCGGCGAATTTGAGTAAAAATGAAATAATACGGAGTCTTTGTCAGTTGGTGAGAATGTCATGGGTTTGATCGTACCTTTGAGGTAATACGGGTCATAAAAGATATGTGCTGTCTTTCTGAGTCAGACATATAAAGCCACACTGACTGTCAGCACTTGATCTAGACTTCCACCAGTGCTTGAAAGTCCTCCCTCACCCTGCGTGTGTTGAAGAGAAGATAAGATCACATCCCAGATCAGAAGGTCTAGATTTCATCATGTCAGCTGAGGTGTTGGTCAAATACACTGATCTTAGCATCATAGGGAATAAACTTGACAAATATTATTGAATTCTGTATGAATAACTTGTCTTTGTTTAGATTTATGTATTACTTTTGTTGATGGCTAAAGCTCTTTTGCTGTAGATTTGTCAGGCTTTTGTTCCTACCAGGATCTGTGTTATTCACTCTATGAGTTCCTACATGCTCTCCTCTGACCTGTTTCTTAATCTTTCCTCTGACTCTCTTGTTTCTTCCTGTTCTGCTACAGGTGGAATGTGCGGTCCATAATCCAGAGCCTCATATCAACACAGAGAGCACAGCCGACACTCCGGCTGTGGGTCATGGTTGTGTCTGGGTGAGACATTGTCCTACACTTTCAAAGAAAAAAAAGCACATTTTATCAATCACACCAAATAAGTGGCCATCTCTGGCTTGTATCGGTACACACAAATGTGAAGGAGACACACTCTTGAATCTGACTTAATGGAGGGTGTGGAGCGAGTCTTTAATTATCAAATGGTGCAGAAAAATATTTATTTTAAGCAGCTAACACGACTGAGGGCTGACCCTTTTGCTGTCAGAGAGTCTGACTCTTAGTTTTAGCGTAGAGCTCAAGTGTGTGAGCAGCGCAGATGGTAATTCTCTGCTGTTTATTTATCGAAATGTCTGATGCCCTGTTTAAGAAATACAATCTGAGTTTGAAAGTGTTTGCTTTAGCTCTTTCTCAAAATAAGCAGTGACTCATAAACATTGATGGTCAGGAAAAAGCTTTGTTCTGCTGAGGGTATAAACATCACTGTTGAGTTATTTTGATGGTGATGTAATATTTAAACTATTGCTGAAAGATGTCAAACTGGAATATAAACATTTAAAGTTGTAAGATAATTGAATCAATGATTTTTGGTCTCATGAGACTTTTTTAAACTTCATGAATTTTAAAGGAATGTCTGATTTAAGGTTACACTTTCAGCAGCCATTTTTGTTTTTCTTCTGTTTGTTTTCTCGGTTTAGTATCTCTCAGAAAAGTATCCAGTCAAACAAATATTTATTGTCCCTTATTTCTGATCAGGTTGCAAGCTGCACCAACCAAATGGGACAGATATCTATAGTGGCCATGCAGAACTCCAGCCCTAAAGTGACTGAGTGTTTCAACGTCGAGTCCCGTATCCTCTGCATGGCTTACGTCTCTGCAGAGCAGCCTGAGGAGAATGGCGAGAAGGTCACTGAGAACAATCATGTCTCTTCAACGAAGGCCAGTGAAACCCCAAGTGTTTGCCTGGGCATGGAGGAGGGAAGGTACAGCACACTGTGGACTTTAAAAAGTGTTTTCATGTCAGTTTTAAGCTGGACAAAAACAGTCCTGTAAGAAATACGTATGTGTCATATTGCCCTTGTTGATGAAAAATAAAAATAAACAGTTAAAAAAATATATCACACACAGATTTTTGTAAAAACCAAACAAAATGAGACCATAATGTGATTGGAAAAGTGTTCAGGTTTGTGTGTTGTTAAGAAGTGGTTGTGTACCTTTAATAAGACATCATGCTTTGGCAATAGAGAGAGTGCTGCTGGTATCTGTCAGGGTTAAGATTATACCCCAAAACTCTCCAAAATGTTCCCTGGTGAGGCAAAATAGTGACTAAAGATAAAAGATTCCTTACAAAACATTTTAAGGTTGTCTCTGATTCTGGTCTTTTGCAGCATCATTGTGTACAAGAGCAGCCAGCGCTCCAAGAAAGTTCGTCTGCAGCATTTTTTCACCCCAGACAAGTCTACTGTCACGAGCCTGGTCTACAAGAAACACTGTCTGTATGCCGGCCTGGTCAGTGGCTCTGTGGCCATCTACTCCAGATCACAAGGTGTGTACTTAAGGAGAGAAGAGATTGTGACTTTGTTTATCTCTGGTGTGACAGTTTCATAACCAAAGCTTTGTAGTATTTGTTGATTCTCCTAAATAGCCAAAATTGGGGCAATTAGCAGGCTAAAACACTGTTATTGTGTGAAACAGATAATGCATTCAGTCAGTTAATTAGATTTGGTTTTCAAACTGTGTAGGCTGACAATGTTTACTTTAATATGCAGTCTGCGCCAGCTGCCTTAACCGTAATTGGCCACTTTGACAAATAGGTGCAGTGTTGGTGGCTGATGTGCTAACTTTGCCACTAAATTAAGTAACTTTAAATCATCCTCTACTGACAGCATTCACCAAATCAAATTAGCATCCAAGTCAATTTTTCAAGTTTAAAATTCATCTTGTCACAATGCTAAGCTGTTTGGGGCAACACAGATGAACATTTGGCAGCCATGAATGAAGGAGTTATTCTGGGTGGAATACAGGCAAAGCTGTTTTTTCCCTCTGTGAGTCACTAGGTTGCTGTTACTGTGTAGCTTGGGGTCAGGGGTCTCCCCTCCTCTGCTCTGCTCTGCTCTGAGGTTCTGCTTCCGTCTGCTCTGTTGTCAGGGAGAAGCCAATCTGTTAGCAGTGACCTATTTAACGTCTTCCCTCCCTGACAGGCACAGACATATTAAGGGAAAGTATCAGGGCTGCTCTCTTCCCACATTCTTTCACATTCTCTATTTCGTCCCATGTCTTATTGGTTTTCATAGCAGCGCAAACAGAGGCTCTTTGAGCTTCCTTTCTGTGTGATTCCACTAAGATGGGTAGATATGCCAGGGCAGAGTCCTTGTAGTTCTTGGCTCTCGATTGTTAATTTTGGTGTCATTACCCTGTGATGCAACTCTTACTTGAGGAGTGTTTTAATAACCTACTGTAAGTCACACATATTCATTCCATTGTGCTCTTATATGACTCAAAAGTACCTCCTTAGAGGTGCAGGGAATTTAATTTTAATGTTGCTGCTCTAGCTTTCTTAAAGGGATATTCCAGTGTAAAATTAGGTTATGGTAAAACACACTGTAACACGATAGCAATACACAGCAGTCTACGTCTCCACATGCAAACCTCAACCAAAAAGCCACTCTATAGCAACAAATAATGCTCAGAACAGCACGTTACTTCCTCAACAGCACATATAGGGTCCCAGCCATAGTACTAGCCATTTTTAAGCTTTTTCTAATTTTTTTAACAAAGAGACTAAACACAATTCGCCCACTCTCTTCCAGCAGCCACTTGTTTGTGGGGGACCCCTGACGAGTCGATCACCGAGTGCAGCGGAGTTTGGCAGCTCAAGGAAGAACATTCATAATTATTACTTCATGGAAATTGAATCAGACCAAGATGCTTAGGCTGAAGAACTACCGTATCTGCCATGCAAAATAATTATCAGGATTTTTATTTCATGGAAATGATAAAGAAATGATCATAAATTTTCTTCCTTGAACTGCAAAACTCCGCTGCACTCGGTGATCGACTCGTCAGGGCTCCTCTCACAAACAAGCGGCTGCTTGAGGAGAGTGGGTGAGTTGTATTTAGTCTCTTTGCTAAAGAAACCAGGCATTGCTAAAAAGATGTCTGGTGGCTAGTACTATGGCTGGGACCCTATATGTACTGTTGATGAAGTTAGGTGCTGTTCTGAGTATTATCTGTGGCTATAGAGTGGCTTTTTGGCTGAGGTTTGTGCGTGGAGCCATAGACAGCTGTGTATTGCCAATGTGCGGTTGTTACTAAAGTTGGTATAACTAGAGAAGCAAGCAGTCAGCAACATTTATCTCTTAAGGGGGTGTCTAACTCAGTGTTATGGTGTGTTTGACCATAACTTAATTTACACTGGAATATCCCTCAAGGTGATCTGTTAGCTTTGTGTGTTGCAGAGAGATGACAGAAACATTGACATACAGACTGAGAAGAAAAACACAAGAAGATGAGTGTTCAGACATTCTTTGCCTGGAGAAATAAACCCTGTAGTGTATGCAACCGTTTAGGAATGTACTGTTAAACTGCTTGTTACCGCTTCTTTCAATGGTTGTGTCACCTCACTGCCTCCTGTATTTTTAACACATCAGTTATTAGACCCTGGCACAGTCAGTATACCACTGCTGGTGTGAGTAAATGTCCCAACAGTTTCAGAAGATGTTTTCCGTTTTTTATCACCACTGAGGTGTCAAATAGATTCTCAGAAGGAAGTACAGGCCCCAAATCCTCTGAGTCTCACTTGTTTGATTCCTCTCCATCAACAGCACAGCTCTGTCACTGTCACTGGAACATGATGCCTGCTGCTAAAATGATGACTCACTCTGGGTTGTTGGTGAGGACACTGGTCCCTTCTTCTCTGTTAAAATGCTGCTCAAGTATTTTGTCACAGTGAAAGGCTTGAGCCTGTACTCCATTAGCATTTAAAGCAGACTCTCGGTTTACATTGCCGAGAAGAAAGCCAGCAAAGCAAAGAGGAATGATCTGCTTATGTTCTTTGATGTAGAAATGTCAACAGATCAAAGGGGACCCTCACAGTGTACAGTGACAAGGCGTTCGAAAAACAACCGAAGAGACGGGAATGTTGCTTTGTCTTCAAAGCCATCAGTGCTGAGTAATCCTGCGTGGAAATGCTATCCTGCAGAAGATGCAGCATGTCTGAAGCTGGCCAGTCAGCCTCATTCTGCCATGCTAGCTATTTCCTGTTTCAGCCTGTGTCAGAGACTGAGAGAGAAGGAGGGAGTGATTCAACAAAGGTCACGCATCATTGCCAGACTGTCAGAACATGATTCTCCTCTGCGTTGTCTTCATAAGTCATCATCTTTTTCTTGTTGAGGGTGTTGGACACGTTCTGTGTTGTGTTGCATCTTAGTCACACTTTCCCTTACCAACGCTGATTGCAATATAGAAATTTGAGTAATGGCTCTTTCAATACCAATGCAATCAAATATATTGTTTATGTAATACATTTGTTGAACTTTCTCACCATTAACCCTTTGTGAACAAAATATGATTGCTGCTAATGACGAGTGACCTGGCTCACAACACTGCAGAACTCATGAACTGAAAATTGCCAAAAAAACTATAGTTTTTGTTATGAAACAGATTATATGTTGTTGTTTTTTTTAATTGTTTTTTATTATTCCACCATATATACAGAATATTACATTCATTGCTATTGTTACATTCACCTGCAGTCAATCAATCAGTCAGTTTATATTTGTATATCTCAGATTCTTCACAATAATATCACGACACTTTACAAAAGAGCAGGTAGTCTTTGTTATACTATTGCCCAACATGATCAAAATCTTTGTGTAATACTTAGCTTGTAGCAGTAACAGGAACAAACATTTCTCAACAGGCAGAAGCCTTAAGTAGAACCTGGCTCATGTTGGAAAGCTGTAGATAGATAGAGCCAAAACGTAAACAACAGCTCTTCCAGAACAGAAGAATGGGTACAGTGCTAATTAATCATGGTAAAAGTATGCATACTATTTGTACACACAGCAAAGTTATGTTAATCAACTGATGACTGTGCAGAGTAGCTGTTTACTATTAACGCAGTTATTTAGCTAAAATGAGTTTGTCTTAAATGCTCTTAAACAATAGTTACCAATAGAGATGAGGAAAAGCTTGAGGTTTGATTATTATTCCTGATAGATCAGTGCACTGAACGCATGATCAACTCAAAGGGATATTCCAGCGTAAAATTAATTTAGGGTCAAACACACCGCAACACTAGTTAGACACCCCCTTAAGAGATGAATGTTGCAGACTGACTTTAGTAGCGACCACAAAATAGCAATACACAGCGGTCTATGTCTCCACACACAAACCTCAACCAAAACGCCACTCTATAGCCACAGATAATGCTCAGAACAGCACCTAACTTCATTAACAGTATAGGGTCCCAGCCACAGTACTAGCCACCAGACATCTTTTTAGCAATGCCTGGTTTCTTTAGCAAAGAGAACAAACGTAACTCACCCACTCTCTTCCAGCAGCCACTTGTTTGCGAGGAGCCCTGAAAAGTCGATCACCGAGTGTAGCAGATTATTTCCTTAAAATAATAATCGTTATAATAATCATTTTGCACTGCAGACGTGGTAGTTCTTCTGCCTTAGCATTTCGGTCTGATTGCATTTCCATGAAGAAATGATCATAAATGTTTTTCCTTGAGCTGTGAAACTCCGGTGTAAAATCAACGCCCTAGCTTGATTTTACACCGGAGTATCCCTTTAACAGGCTACTTTATTATCATCCTTTGGGTAAGAAGAACCTCACTATTTTAATCAGTGATCAGTTTTTGTGCAAATAAACCATCACGATGAGAAAGGTGCAACCAACACTGACTTCAAGGAATACCGTGTAAGAAGTAAGATGTGGGCAGACTCGCAGAAGACTTCGAGTTGATACTCCCGTCTCCACTTCTTCTTTGCTTGTTCTTTTACTCTTTATGCTAACATGCATCCACCTACACATAATGATTATCAAAATGATATACACAGGGCATTAGTGGAATGCTAACCCCACCTTGCCCCTGTAGAGGGAGATTACTTTCACTTCCCCAGTCATTATACTGTACCTCCCAAAGACCATCTCTCCCTGCTTGGCACCTCTGCCTTCAATGGCTGTCTTTGTGCCTTCTCTTGACAAACATGGCTGGTGAGGCCTCATTCACTTCCTGGCCTAGATTAACTCAGGCAATGTGGTATCAGCAAGGAATGAAGTTCATATCCAACTCAGTGCCACAGGACTATTTGGTCTGATGCACATTCCTTGTTTTGTGTGTTACTTTGATCGAGTGTAGAGCTTTTTCTACGTTTCTTCTAAATTAATGATACACTGATCAAAATCCAACCCAGTAAATAGCTGCAGGAATGTAATTTGTTATTTTTAAAGGCACTGCATGGGGTGTTACATTGCAGTAGAGCTGGCACTGTAGGTGCCCAGGCACATGTAGAACACAGTGTGTAGGAGGAGTGTGTGGGATGAAGCTCAGCTCTGACTAACGCTTCACAGCCCATCTATATTCATAGCGAAGGCTGTGAAAACCATCAATGGCCATTCTAGCAGCATAAGCAGAGTCGTATAAATGCAGATGACCTTTTCAGACAACACTTCTGAAGATGAAGTGACTATAACTGTGTCTGCCCTATGAAGTGTAAACCATTTCTCTTTAACCTTTACTTGGTAATGATAAAGGTTTACATTGTAAAACGAACACAACACTGACAGAAGAAGAGAAACAGCACTCTGTTTTTTTTTTTTATAATGCTAACATTTTATGCATTTGATGTCCCAACCTTGCAGAGCACACGCATATATTCTGTGCATGCATAAACTGCTTTTCATCGGGTACTTTGTGAAAGGCTTTGATTTATTTATGGTGGTGTGGTGCTAAAGTTACTCTTCTTTTCTGTGTTCAAGATGGTTCATGGAACTCTGAGAAACCTAAGGTACTGAAGCTGGGAGTCCTCCCAGTCAAGGCCATGCTGGCTGTAGAGGAGCACCTCTGGGCATCATCAGGTGGACAAGTTTTCATCATCAGCAGCCACACTCACTCTGTAGAGGTAAGAAAACTCAGGTGATACTGTCAAGCTATAATCACATCACATGTTAGCATCATACACAGCAGCTGTGTGTGGGTGTTGTAAATCACACCAAGTGTACGTCTCTTCTTGTCAAGTCTGTGGGAAAATCTGTTGATCTAAAGTGTGGCTCAGACCAGGAAATGCAATAAGTAAGCAAACAGTTTAGAGAGATCTTTTTGTTTATCTTACATGAAGATGAAGTTGAAATGAAAATGTCTCTGACAGTCTTTCTGGCTCAATATGAAGAAAACAAAACTGGGGAGTGAGACATCAACACAAAGAAACAAAAGGAGACAGAGTTTAGTCTGCAGAGGAAGGTCTTGTATTGAGCATAATGAATCTTTTCGTGGAACGTTTCAAAGAAGCACCTCCTCCAAACATTGGTTTGCAGGTTTTTAGAAACCTTAGTAGATTACAGTTATTAATTTCCTTCTTGGGTTTCTCCTGTCTGTGTCCTGAAATATGGATGATAATCCTTGTATATGTTCCAGCCTGGTTTAGGGAGTTGAAGCACCTGCCATTGGTCCAGGAATAGTAACCTTCCTCTGACATGCACTCACTCATAATCTGTTTAGCCTCATTAAGCTCATTATGTTGGACCACCTGCCTGTCTCGCTCTCCTTTCCCAACTGAAGAACTTACAATTAGTCTTGAGTGCAGACTGTAAGTGAGGGACTGAAAAAGAGGAACAAATGCTGAGAGGGAAACTGAATGTTCACATGTTTGAAGTCTTAATCCAACAGAAATAAGGCCAACTCTGTTAGTCTCCATGATGAGTTCAGTTAAATTGATGCTTATATGCCCCATAATGAAATTAGATAACGAAACTATTATTGCTCACAGTAATGAAGCAAAAAGAAAAAGAGATGATTTTATTAAAGAGGTGTGAAAATGCTGGTTTTTCAACCCTTGTGAAAGTCCCACTATTGTCTAAAAATTGGCATCAACAATAAATATCTTTGATGCTTTTTGCAAAATAGTACAGAGGAAAAAAATCATTGTTTTGTTCATTCATGTCAGATTAAGTGCCGTCTGAAAAAGAAATGTGGTTCTTTGAATTGATTTATATTGTTAAAGCAAGTGAAGATAACAAGACCCTAAACATAATAACAACCATTAATACTGCTTTGTCTCTAAACAGAGTCGAGGGTTGATTTATGTCCTGAGCTTTTTCTCATGAGTTTGTAGTCAGAGGCAGTCAACACAAGACTATCAAGAATTCACTTTGAAGCTGCAGAGCCTTTGCTAAACCTGAGTTCAAAGTGTCACCAACAACTGTGGTGAATAATTTGTGCAAAGCCCTCTGTAGTTCTGAGTTTTCATTCTGCATATTTGCAGACACTGTCTGTTGTATAAATTATTCAATCCTAACCTCACTTCCATGCTAGAATAACAAAGTGGTAGTTAAAAACGGATTTTTCTTCAGACAGCATGATACTTCAAAGTGTTAAGAATGAAACTGGGTTTTATTTTTGTAAAAAGTAGAAAGGCAAGACCTGACCTGAGTTTTATATTTTTTTTTTATCCAATTGTCTCCAAAAGTCACATCCTCACTGAAGCTTGAAAGCATATTTCTTGCTTGTGTTTAACCCACTGTGGAAGAAATCCCTTACCTACTGTTACTTCACAGACTAAATACATGTGTGAAAGGTAACTACTGAGCCTGCCATCTTGTCCTTTCTCCCTCTTCCAGAAGCAGCTGGAGGCCCACCAGGAAGAGGGCATGGTGGTGTCCCACATGGTGGTGGCAGGAGTGGGGATCTGGATCGCCTTCAGTTCTGGATCCACATTGCGCCTTTTCCACACTGAGACCCTGGAGCACCTACAGGACATAAACATAGCCACGCCTGTCCACAATACACTCCCTGGTAAGATATACAAAACTTCCATTTCGAGAATAAAAGTTCACCAAAAGCTGTCAGACATAATGTGGGTATTTTTTTATTATCGGCCAAACATATTTCTGCTATTTTATCCTTTGAAAAATGAACAGAAATATTTGTTGTCTAGCGTGTCATATCCTATTTCTCCAACATTTCCTAATCCTAATGAAATATAATGACTTAGATCTTCTCATATCTGCCACTGAATATCTGAAAAGACCGTCAGTGGAGTGTGAAATGTGAGATGTCAAACACACTGACACTCTCCATCTGAAACCTTTTAAAAGTGTCACATTTCTGAAGATCAGTAGAGTGTATTTGTTCTTTATTTGGGATTCCAGATATGGTGATAAACTTTCTCAAGCACTTTTTTAAACACCAGCCAGCATTTGTGCACTTTGATGCAGGTCCAATGACCTTGGTCAGTAATTAGCCGACATCAGTGTGGGTGCTCCTCAGACAGCTCTTGTTATGGCAGATTTGTCACCAGAAGGCTCCTCTGGTCTAAACAGTGAGTCAGGAACCTCTCATTTCATCTCTATTCTTGACCTCTCTAAGTCACCTATGAGGAAACTTTCACCACAAGTGCCATCTGTACAAAATTCAGTCTAAATGTGTCATTCCCAGGAGGAATACTTTATTGACTTGAAGATCATGAATTATAACATCACTTTAAAACTGACAGTGTAGTAGTGTCTGAGCTGGAACTGGAAGTTGTGGATTTCAGTAGATAAAACCTTTTTCCACAATCGTATACATTGACAGTACCAAAACTTGCTGTTATATAAACCTTTATTCTTGGAAGGACCTGGTTCAGCATTTTTCAAAAACCAAAAATCAATCATAATCACGTCTTGAGTTTAACCATGTCTGTGGCTATTGTCTCACGGTCGTGGTGAGGATGATTGAATGGGAAGAGGTCTAAGCAAAAAGCAAATCACTGCAGTGTATTAAATGAAACCAAAATGTGGTAACTTTGGCTGTTATTGGGTCAAAACAGACTCTGCCCCCGGTTGCTGCAGGGCAGTCTTTCTCCTCCCCAAAGCAGCCACGATAATGGCGACCAAACTTTGTTGTAAGTCCTGTTAGCATTTAAATCAGCAGGATAAAAGCCAGTGAGCTAACTAAAGGTGATACTAAGTTACATTTTGTTGTGCCCAGTGTCAGGGCAGTAAAAAGACTCTTAGGAAATGTAAATAAAAGCATCCATAAAATAAACAATACTCCTACTATTTCTTTATGACACTAAATTTGGGAAAATAGTGAAATTGTTAAATACTCAGATTGTTAAGGATCCTTGATAATGTTGTTAAAATCAGTTAGAGTATTCAATTTCAAACTCTATCCTAGGGGTTGGGTGATTAACTGATAATTTGCCGATACTGGTATTTACAACAATTACCAACATCATTTTGCCCATATTGGTATATTTGGTGTCAAAATAAATAAAAGTTGGTTTTGAATGTGTGTAGAAAGGCTTTGGTCTCATGTCCCTTGTAAGACGCCGTTCTATGTCAGAGGCATGACTCCACCCCATCCAGTCCATAGCAAAGAGGGAAAACAGGTGAGGAGATGGAGAGCGGTTCAATAGTTATAGCGGCTGGAGCGGCGGCTGAAGTAGACGAAGTTAATGTGGGAGGAGGTGAGCAGCTTGTGGAGTAGTTATCATCCATTTAAAGTTATCGAGGTGAACTGCTCAATACATTGCGATATTGATTTAAGGCCACATTGCCAAGCCCCTACTCTATTCCTCAATCAGTAAGGTTGTAACAGCAGCTCTGTTTTCTGTAATAACAAGCGCAAATGAAGAACAAGCCTTTCTGCATTGTGACATATCTCAACTTGGGAGTTCAACAGTGACATAGATTTACTCTCAACAGATCTTATATAAAATAAGGAGAGAGCGCAGAGTTTGTGATGAGAACAAGGTTTCCAACTCTAAAATTGCTTTTTATTTACTTGACTTGCATCATCCTTCAGTGAAAGCTCACCTTTGTTCTGTGATTGTGTAACCACCAATGTAAACTTGTCACTGCCAGGTTGTAAAATGTGCAGGAAAAGCGGGAGAAATGAGGCACATTTACAGATGATTTAACACTAGATGAGGTTTTTTTTTTTTATGACTAATAAAAATACCAGGAAAAGTGTGTCATTAAACAGGTTTAAGATGAAAATTCTCTCTTCGATTGGACTCTCTTCATAGTATCAGTCTCCTGCCATGTGTGTTATAGCCAAACATTATTGCTGAGGATACTCAGGTCAAATGAAATTACTTTGAGGCAGCCAGACCAGAGTCCCAGACCAGAGTCATCAGAGCAGCCTGCTGCTTCAGGTCTTGTAATTTTCTGTTTTATCAGCTTGACCCAAAAACTCACATCCCAAAAGAAAGATAGTAGAGAAGCAGAGATTACTTCTGGTGGTATGAAATCAGGATTTGTCTAGTCCCATCACTGCTGCTTTCAGTCTCTTTCTTCTCATGCTGAGTCATGCAGACAGCTCGGGTTCAGGCGTACATTTCCAGAAGGATTCTCTGTAATGTTGTCTTTAAGTTTTACACAAATGCTTTTTGACAGTGGACTTTTTGCCTTCCCCTTGAAGACTGATAATGCAGAGTTTTGATACAAAGTAAGAGTTTTGTTTGATGACAGACGTGGTTAAATGTGCGTGTGTTGAAGTCCGCAGTTAATGACTAGCCTGCAGTTGTTCTGAACTATCTCATCTTCAGCATCATTAGGAGCACTGTTATTAGCCTAGCTCTATCTAGACTGAATGCACATTTAGTCTTCAGAGGGACTTCTCTATTATTGCCAGAAGGTAGTAATAATACTCAGAAAGGCATCAGAGGGACTCGGCTGCTGGGTGTGAAAACTGAAGTCACTCTTTTCATCTTACATTACTTTCTTAAAATCCGCTTGATGTGGAGTTTTGTGTGACGGCTCATATGTTCCTCAAAAAAGAGGGTTTTGAATGTTCATAAGCTATTGATGCAGCAATAACACGCACACACATCTTGTCGTATCCATGGCTACAAGTTGTTCAGTTTGGCAGGATGATTAACAGCGTTTTCTGCAGCTTTCTGCTCCTGACTGCAGAAGCAGAGGATTTATGAACAGCACTGGCAGTTATACAAACTCAAGATTTACAAGCCTAAGTCTCACCGTACAAAATGTAAGAGATGACCAACTGATTGGTGTTTTGAGCCCTTCACTTGACATCATAGGGTGAATCTTCTGACACAAATGTTTCTGGTTACAAGTAAAAGGCCTCCTTGTCAGACAGATGTGAATGATAAAGCATCTACTTTGAGATCTCTCTGCTCGTATCTGCTAATAGAATCCATGCAACCACAGAGGAAGTTGGTTCTGGGACAGATCACAACACAAGAAAGCCTTTCATCGTCTGGGCTTCACTATTAAGAGCTCACATACTCTGATAACACCATCCGATGGTCCATTGGCCTTATGAGAACAAAATAAAAAGTATAAATCACCCACAAGGTTCTGATTTTGATCTTTTCATATAGCAGTCCTGTGAAGTTCCTCCGCTCGCTGCCCTTTATGTAGTCTGTTGTGATCTGCGAGTTTCTAGAGCAGTCCACAGTGGGGTTTATTGCTGCTGGCCTCTGTTGTGGAACAAAATGAGACCAAAGAAAATGTGCTGTTTCTGCACAAACTCTGATGTAATTGAAAGTGCCAACCAAACAGTTTGGACAGGAGGGGATTTCATTCAATCGATGTGATTGGTCTGTCACATCGATGCAGTTCTCTCCTGCGTGAAAGTACATTTACTGAGACACAAGCTGAAAAGAACAAGACCAAGACATGACTGTTTACAATGTGATCACTGATTTCTTGATAAGTCACCTCTTCAGTAAGTCCACAGCATTGATGAGAGGATATCACATCACACATCCTGGTTCAATCTGGGCTTGTCTGTAGGACACACACATAAGCTAACAAAGGCAGACAGGGCGTTGTCTTCATTGTCAATGCCTCCATGAATGGTGCTGTGTTGAAATGCAGGTGGTACTTAAGGTGGGGTGATCCTTCTCATGTTCGTGCACGTTGAAACAATTTTGCTGTGTCCAAGCAGATTAGACAGTGGGCTAATAGCAGTCATTTCCACTGTAACTCATAGCACATGTTTGTTTTAGAAGCCTTTGTGGCTCACATTTAAGAGTTAAGTAGTCTTATTAGCAGCTGCTTGGTATTATTTCTGTCTGTGCAGTTAAACCACACTACTTACTCTCAAGACCACACATTGAAATGCAACGAAAAAATATATATATTTATATATATAATTGTGTCATCTGACTTCACAAGCCGCTCAAAAGAGCAGTAGCCCTTCATCAAAAAATCCTGAGCTGTGCTCATGTCTCAGAGGATGTTGATGATCTGGTTTGCTGGCTGGGGTCTGTGCTGAGGGTCTAGTAGGCCTTTGTCTGCTGCTCTGTGACCTAAATATGCAGCCATGCATGGTCTAATGGGAGACAAACACCAGGGGGGGTCAGTAAATAACACCTCCAGCTCTGCTTTGTTTGATCGCCACCATTTCTGTACACATCCTATAGCCGATCAGACACCTACACTGCAGGCCAAAAGTTTGGAAGCAAGATCAGATTTGTACAAAAAAAGATCATAGTTTCCTATATATAATTTGCAACACAATAAACATGACTATTGTGTAAAGAGTAACTTATCAAAAGACATTTTGACTATAACTATTAGGTATTTTAGTTATTGTTGCTTAGACTTTGCTTTCTTTAAAGTAACCTCTGGCTTTAACAACAGCTTGGCATATACCAGGCATTCGTTCCACAAGTTTTTTAAGGTATGTTCCAGGGATTGCATTCCAAGCTTTCTTAAGTTCATTAAAAAGAGACTGCTGATTTGTGGGACGCGTTTTTCTGACCGATCGACCCAAGTCATCCCGCACAAGCTCAATTGGAGAAAGGTCTGGAGACTGAGGGGGCCAAACCATCTTTTGAAGAACACCTCCCTCTTCTTTTTTGTCTAGGTAACCCTGACAGAGCTTGGCAGAGTGCTTAGAGTCATTGTCTTGCTGCAAAACAAACTTATGAGCCACTAGTCTGAGTCCAGATGGAACAGCATGGTGCTGGAGGATGGAGTGGTACTGTTCCTTCTTCATGATACCCTTTACTTCAAAAAAATCTACTCCATCACCTGCAAAACATCCCCATACCATGGAACTATCACCTCCATGCTGAATTGTGGGTGTAACACATGACGCTTTCAGACGTTCACCAGTTTGTCTGCAGACATAGACTCTGCGTTTTGAACCAAACAGTGCAAACTTGTTTCTAGTCATCATAAGTCCAATTTTTGTGAGCTTTTGCCCACTCATATCTCTTCTTCTTGTTCTGTGGACGAAGTAGTGTTTTTTTTGCAGATACACAACCCTTCAGACCAGCCTTTCTCAAACGTCATTTCAAAGTTGTCAGAGATATGAGTTTCGACCTTGTCATGTTGATTTCCTCCCTTATTTGTGGTGCTGTTTTTCGCCGATCTCTCTTACTGGTGACAATGATATGTTTATCCTCTGCTTTTGTAGTAACTCTCTTTCGTCCAGGTCTTTTTCTATCATCATAACTTCCAGGTTCCTCTAGTCTCTTCAGAGTGTAGTGGACTCCTTTGTTAAACGCCTTTAGGCGTTGATACCAAAATACCACTAGACCAGCCGCGCTCTGCCTGCGCTGAAAGCTGACCAGGCTTGAGTCGGCGAGCTTTCAGCACACTTAACACGCCACCGGCGAGCACGAAAATGTCACTGCGCCCGCTGATTCTGTCGACACCTCCCCCTGCCACGCCACCACGCCCAGCTTGGCGGATCTCAGTTCGCCTCCGTGCGCCTCAGTCCACGAAAATACCAAACTGGCTGTACGCCGGGCCCCGCCAGACGAAAATACAACTGCGCGGGGTCTGCCACCTTCCACCGCCTCACCGGCGTACACGAAAATAGAGCCCAATATTTGTAGCTAACATAGAAAAACAAACCTAGAAGCTGCTCTTTTTTCCATTTAATGGTGGGTGGCAGCCATCGGAAGAATCAGTGCAGCCTGTTACTGTGAACCAGTTAGTTACACAGTATTACTTCATGCGTATTTTCAAAACAATACCAATTTATTCATTTTTTTAAAATACCTTTATCATGAATTAGGACTGTGTGCCATCCTAGCATGCAAACAAATTTTAACTTGAAAATTTTAGCTCTGTACCTGCTAAAGCTCAGCGTGTCCACAAGGTTGTTTAACACAAAGTTTTTATTGGTGCAAAAAAGTTCTCTGTCAATATATCAGCAGAAAAACGCATGTGCACTAACACAACTGGCAATATTTTTTTATTTCTGTAGTTTAATGCCAAAATTGTGAACTTCCAAGAGAAACATGAATTCCTTGGGTAGTAACTTAAGGTACAGTTATTCACTTTGCGCTGATTTGAGTTATTTTGCTGTTGTATCACATTGCTGACTCAGTGTATTGTAATGTATAGGATTAGCTCCTCCCTCCTGCCATTGGATGTCAAGGCTAAGTGCAGATCAAAGTGTTGCTGTGTTATAGGACTAGGGCAAGATCTGGGCCATGTTGACATTCATTCAGGGTTTATTTTAGTTCACCCTCTGGGTGGGGAACTCCAAATATTATGAAAGGAGGAAGTTGAGCAAGGCCCCCAACTGGCAGACTGTGTGTTTCTGCTAACTCTGAACCCTCATTAGAAGCACATGTGGGCAGGAACCAGGGCCCACTCTTCAACCAAACCTGCCTTCTTATCTGGCATGATTCCTGGAAGCGTGGCAGTATGGCATGTGTGTGCCCCATGCACGGGGTCAGCTCTAGTGAGGGGGTCAGGCAGAGAGGCTGGCAGTAATTTTTCCTTAAAACCCAAGAGGATTACTTTGAGGGAGGAAATTCAAGTCAAGCTGTTACAGCAGTAATGACTCATGACAGACTTGCCTCCCACCTAGCAGGTCTGAGAGACTGTTTTTTTGCAAAACCCCAGATTCTTTTACAGTCATAAAAGTAATGATAAAATTGTCTCACCAGTCACTGATTGTTGCACAGCTTATTCCTGACAAAGTTCCTGCGAGGAGACGTCGGAAATGAGTGCCAAATCCCACATCATAAGTCACCTAACACAGACGATGTCAGCAGGCCTGGTTTTATTACATCCTTGTTGAAAGGCGCTGTTAACAGAACAATCAGAGCTTTTACAGTGCACAGTGGCAACCCAGTGATTTTTCTAACTAGAGGGGAAAAGAAAAGGTCAGGTCTGATTGTCTCCTTGCTGCTTCAACTCCTTGCTTAATTACAGCATTACGCTTCACTCATTCTCTTACATAATACTTTTGTGTTTGTTTGTTTGACTCAAAGTACACATAATGGGGTATTTTTCTGTGTTCAGACACTTGAAAAGAGCTGCTTTTATTCAGGCTCCTCTTTGCGTTGCCCTGGAGACAAATAATCGTGCAGCATTGTTGCTGTAGAAAAACCCCTACTCACTAAAAAGATACACCCCCTCCCATCCTCCCACGCCTGGTGCTCAAGTGGTCCATTAACTGTGCTCTTTTCTCATTTTCTAGGATACAGAGTTGTTCATGAGCACTGTGTGTTCACTGAAACTGTGAATTACACAAAGTGTTGGAGCATATTTGCCAAAAAAAATATCATTTAGCTGTGCCTCTAAATATTAGTTATATTTTCAACCACAGTGTTCACTAAACTAAATTCAGTTCCATGCTTTTCTTTCCAAAGGGAACCAGAGAGTGTCAGTGAGCAGTCTGCTGGTCTGTCATGGGCTGCTGCTGGTAGGAACAAACCTCGGTGTGATTGTGGCCCTCTCTGTTCCAAGACTGCAGGGGATCCCTAAAGTCACAGGTAACACTATAATATGCACACGTCTTCTCCCTTAGTTTATACTCATGCATTTTAAGAAAATGGTGGTACACTGTTTAGTAAATGAACTTTGTGGAGGAGTGCTGCAGAAGTCCTCTTAATGTTGTTGTGGGCAGTGCTTAACCACCACACAGGTAGCTGACAGGCAATAGATAGATGGATAGATAGGTGGATGGACGGATGGATGGATGGATGGATGGATGGATGGATAGATAGATAGATAGATAGATGGATAGATGGATAGATGGATAGATAGATGGATAGATGGATAGATAGATAGATAGATAGATAGATAGATAGATAGATAGATAGATAGATAGATAGATGGATGGATGGATGGATGGATGGATGGATGGATGGATGGATAGATCACCCGACAAAATATCGCAATAATATGAGGTAACGATATTTTCTCCCTCCCCTACATATTAAAATGTCTGTTTGTGTTCCAGGTCGGGGTATGGTGTCCTTACATGCTCACAACGGACCAGTTAAATTCCTTACTGTTGCAGCTGCAGTGTGTAACCGACCCTCTGGCTTACAATCCTCCACCCCTCCCTCCTCGAATCAGCCGACAGAGACGGAAGATGGGGAAAACACCCAGCCTCCATCAGATTCAACTCCGACTCCCCCTCAGGGCCGAGGAGTATGGCTAGGAGAGGCAGGCTGTACCACCATGGCTCTCCAGGACTCCCTCTCCTCCTCCTGTGGCTCCTTAGCCCCATCCCAGGGCTCCTTAGAGCACGGACCCGAGGACGGGGCCCTCTATGACATGCTCCATGACCCTGCTCATCACCAGAAGGGCCGCCGGTCCAGTAAGGTAGATGTCAGCTCTCTGCTGGTGGTGTCTGGAGGTTTGGGCCACCGAAGGGTCAACAAGAAGGCCAAACAGTCTCGGCATGAGGACAACACCTCTACCATCATGATCTGGCAAATCCCCCTACTCAACATGTGACACCAAAAGCAAGTAAACTACAATTTATCTGTAAGCAACATACAGTTCAAGCGCTTACTCTAACAGATTCCTGATGTCTCTTTTCTCTTTTTTAGGTCTGAAAAAAAGGGCTGCTCACATTGAACTTGCTGATTAAACTCTGCTGAACATTTGGGATCAATCAGAACAACTTCATGCCTTTTTGAAACCAGAAGTGCATCAAGCAACAACCACAGTATTCTGATGTCTTAATGATGTCCGCTGCCATGAAAACACAATGGATCTATACAACCACTCAACTGGGATGCTCCACAGTACAAACAACTCTCCACAGACCAATGAAAGGATGCATTATCATAAAAAAAACTTAAAGGTCTTTAATTTTGCCTTCCTATGAGATGAATCATTGTCTGTAACATGGCTAATACATAACTCTCCAGTGTTGTTACCATTCAAAGTGTCTTATTGGGCTGCAGTATTTAAAACAGTGTTGAAATGAGGTTAGACTGAATGATGATCGCTCTGCTTGTAAGGCAAATGAGGTCAAAATAAGGCTTTGGAACTGCTACAAGAAAGTTTCGTCAAGATTAGGAGAAGGTATTGTCCTTCTCTTAGGATACTTGTAAAGGTGCAGAGTTGTAAATATGAAGTTTGACAACTCAGGATTACATGAGAGTGAGTTTTAGTGTAAGAGAAAGGCTCAGTGTTTTATTGAATCCAATTATACTGCCATTAGGTATGCTGTTAAGTATGAAAATGGATGAAAAAGGTGAAATACTGATGACTGAATTAGTTTGAGAAGGCGTATGAGAATCTCTGGCTGGCCAGGTTTCTGTTCATAAAGGGATGTAAGAGTTGTTATCTGCAGGAGAGTGATTTTTTTTTTCCCATAATGCTTCCTTGTTCTCGCGTAAGGATATTTAAAAATCACAAAAAGCTTTATATGTTTGTCACGATTCTGTGAGCTACTTTTTATTTGTATTAACATTTTCATAAACTTCTATTGACCACCATTGTGTGCCTCATTTTGAACTTATTACCTGATGAAATTCACAGGTTTTGCCGATTATTGGGGCATTTTTCTCTGGAATATCTACTTGTGTTAATTCATTCTCTGTCTGTAAATTCATGGTATTTATGGTTGCTCCCTTAAGTGACATGAACTTTTTAATCACTTATCTGCAAATTGAGCAAAAGTGTCAGCAGGACTATTTTCCTCATCTCAAACCAACCTTGTTCTCCACTCTCCTTGTGTGCAGTCATCAGTACATGCTGGGACTAGCAATGTGCCTGAGGGGCTGCAGGAACCGAGCCTGATACAGCTCTTCCGGGATTTCGCTGCTCATATCTCCTGCTGCTGAACAGAGAGGGTCAAGGCTTTTTCTCTCTTCCAACGCCCACATTCACTGTTGCACAACCATGTTTCACTATGTTATCTGTTCCTACAAAAATAGACAAGCTAGCTTCAGGCTGGAGTTGCTCCTGAGTTACAATCCAAAATATTATCTCATCTGATTTCTTTGTGTAGCTAATAATTTGACGAAAGCCTAAAATAATATGTAACCTCTTTAGCACAGATTTATTGACTACACGCAAAGCAAAGCCTCAGTCCCGCTGTGCAAACAAAGTAACCTGGTGATCAGTTGGCAAGCCTGTGTGTTGCCATTTGTATCAGGACAGCTCTGCTACTGGAAGCCTTTTGTTTTCCCTCTGACCCTGAGGTTGCCATGGAGACTGCTCATTTTGCATATCAGTCCTCAGCAAAGCTTTACTCTCAGAATATCCGGCATTAAAGTGCCCCTGCTGAACGCCCTCTAATCTCACAGGGCTGATAGGTTTTTGATGCCCTTGTGGTTGCCCCCCTCTATTTTTATATCTGAAGGCCAGTTGTTAGGACAGGCAGACTCCACGGTGGAGAGGTTATGGGTAAAAAAAAGTCTGCTGCTGCTCTTGCTGCCCTGTGGGGTTGTGCTATTTCTAATCAGGCCTTTTCATAATGTTAAGGGCATATGTCTCATGCGCCTCTATTACTGCTGTAGTAACACAAATACTAACAATCCTTAGGCTACTTTTCCATACAAAACTCATTACTGTTGCTTTTACCACTTAAATGTGCCTTAATCTGCTTTGTTGTTGCCTCAGGCTTATACATTAGAAAGAAATGGTGTTGGGTTATCTCCAAAAAGGAAGTGTGATTCATCCTCCTCGAGTGTTGCCAGTGTTTTTGAATTTAAACCTTCCCTAGTGTGCATTTGGGATGAATTTTAGAGTCAAGTTGACAGGTGTTATGATAAACTGTTGAATGCACAAACAGGTGGAGTGTACTGATGGATCTATATAGCTTTTTGTGTCCAATTCTAACAGGTATTTTATTTTGTAGACCCTGTCAAATTAAAGGAAGCACTTCACTTTTAGACTGGGTTTATGCTGGCAGGGTATGTGAAAGGGATTTCCCATAAATCCCATCCTCTGATCCCCCACACCAACCCACCCACCCTTTGTGGTACCCATGACAGGGATGATGCGTAAAGGAATGTCGCATCTCAGGAACGCATCCAGCGCGCGCCCAACAGATGAAGCCTCGTGCTCCTGCTGTTGAGTGTAGGGTTAATACCGACAGATGGGGCGTGGTTTAGATCAATGACAACCACCTCACTACAGTCAATGTAAAAAAGACAACAAGATCACAGTCCTGGCAGGTCCCTGTGCTGGTTTCTGGACTGACCGCAGCAGACAGGAGGAAAAGACTCCTGATCGTGCGCAGCTGCTGCCACCCCACTTTCACGGGAGGAAATTAGTTGGCGACGGCCGATCTGAAGGAGGTGCGACCTGCAATGAGTGTCTGATCGCTCCTCTTCCTCGCCTCTGTCTGTGGATCCAGGGAGGCTTCAGTGCAGGACCGAGTGAGGCTACAGTGGATGGGGTCGATGGATAGAGGGGGACGAAGGGGATAAAGCAGCTGCAGTCGCTGGTGAGGTAAAGTCATCCAGGGGAGCACAGCCCGGGCTGGTTCATGGGGATTGCGACTACCTTACGTAACTGTGCTTTGTGGGGAGACTGGCTGGGAAACTGCTCGGGCCGAGCTTGTTCATTACACCGAGGATAGACAGGTAAGTCACATTATACTGTCAACAGACTGCATGCCAATTCTAATTTGATTAAAATGTGCAAAACACTTCAGTTCTTATCATTTTGAATGTTGGATATTTTCCACGAGGGTTTGTGTGATATTAACAAAGAACACGTAAAACAGCTATTATAATAAAATTAGTTTACAAACTGCCTTTGCCAGTTATGTACGAGATTAATTCCTCTATCAACTCGGCAGCCTGTGCGCATGCGCTCTTCATGACTCCAGATTAACACAAATAATGGACAGGCTGGGTGATTATTGCAGTAGGTCATGTCGTTTGCAGCGACAAGAAGCTACATGTTTGGGCAGTTTTAGCACAGAAAAAGTGGTGTTGCACATTCAAACCTTCGTGCAACTGTAGCTGGTTGGACTGCATGCATTAGTGACACACTGATCCAGGAGTGTATTACACAAGCTCAAAGTAATTTTTTCCTTTAAATTTCAGCCTCTTAACTGGTAGTTATTAAGGAAAGGGCGCCCCTTAGAGAAAACAGAAGTCTTTGCAGCTTGAAGCCTCCCTTTTTCCTTTTTTTCTCAGCTGAATTGTCTCCTTGTGTTTCCTCTATGTAGGTGAAGTGGGAGAAGTGCAACCACAAGTTCGTCCACCCACCCAGCATGATCAAGGAACACACCGTCTTCCATCAGCAGTGAGCAGGTCAACATGAACGAGGGCTGTAGGCAAGGAGGAGGGGCCATCACTGTGGAGGCTGATGTCATCCTCCACACTGTGAACCCTGACCTTGTCACACCTCCTGATAAAGATGTGAATTTATGCTCAGGTTATGTCCAAGGACTCCTCAAGGATTCTGAGGACTTCAGCCCCCCACCTGTGTTCGAGAAGGAATACCTGTTGGATGGGAAAATGATGGAGAATAACCATGTCGATCATCAGCAAGGAAACGGTTCCTGCATCCCAAGAGCTGATGAGTTTTCCCTCCCCGGTGATAAGGGAACTCCAGATTTCTCTCCTTTTGCTGATTCTGCTGTAACCAATCACATTGCTGCCATGCAACAAAATTGTACAAGCAGTGAAATCCACAACGGCGCCAGAGCCAAAGTGTCTTCCAGTGCAGATTCCTCCATATGCTCGCCAAGCCAGGCCAAACAGGAAACTGACTGGTCAGTCCTAGATTCAAACCTTAAATGCAGGAACAGCGGCCAGGAGAACACACAGGCCAACAAAGAGCCTGATTTAGTCATAGAAGTGGGCGGGCAGAAGATCAATGCTCACAAGTTGATCCTGGCAGAAAAAAGTGACTACTTCAAAGCAAGGCTGTCACGAGACATCCTGAAAGTGAAAGGCATCAGTTACAAGACTCTGTCTACATTGATAGACTATATTTACACCTCTCAAATGAATGTTTCCAAGGACAATGTAGTAGATGTCATCACAGGGGCTAAAATCCTCCAGATCCCCTGCGCCGTCCAGGCTGCCATGGACTCCATGTCTGCACAAATCACAGCAGAGAACTGCTATGAGGTTCTCACTATCGCCAAAAAACAGCGACTTAGTGAACTGAAGGAAACTGCCTACAGATTCATGAGTGACAACTTCCTCCAGATCCTCAAAGACCCAGCGGTGTATGGGCGCCTGACTGGATCAGAGCGGGATCTGATCCTAAAGAAAAGGTTGGAGGGTAGGAAGACACTGATGGTGGCGGAGATTAATGATGTGTTTGATCGTGTTGGGAGCAGGCCACCGAGCCGCTGTGGCAGCCGACCACAGAGCCCATTGTCTGTGGGGTCTTTGGAGGAGGGTCATATGATTTACTACTTCAATGAAACAGAAAATGACTGGAGAGCTTTGACTGCCATGCCTGAGGACATAAACACTAAAGGCTGTGGGATCTGTACCATGTACAACTACCTGTTTGTGGCAGGGGGAATAAAGGGCTACGGAGACAAGGGCAAGGTTTCAGACAAGGTCTTCTGTTACAACCCGATAACCAACCGCTGGGCTGAGGTCAGACCTCTGATCCAGGCTCGGGCCCAGCTTAAGCTTGTGTCCATGGATGGCTACTTGTACGCCATTGGAGGAGAATGTTTGTTTACAGTAGAGAAATATGACCCCCGCATGGACCGCTGGTCTACAGTGGCCCCCTTGCCGAAGGGAGCCTTTGCTGTGGCCCATGAAGCCACCACTTGCAGTGGTGAACTTTACGTTTCTGGGGGCTCTCTCTTCTACCGTCTCCTGAAGTATGACACCAAGAGGGACGAGTGGCAGGAGTGTCCGTACAACAACAGCAGGAAGAAGTCCTCAGATATGGTGGCGCTTAAAAGCTTCATTTACCGCTTTGATGTGAACAGGGAGCAAGGGATCAATGTGTTCAAATACAACAGCATAGTGAAAATGTGGCATGATTGTGCATCACAGAGGCTGGGGAGCCACTTACCCTTCAGGTGTGCTGTTATTGGTAACTGCATCTTCTGTGTGAACAAAAGCCAGACTCTTCAGTTTGTAGTGGAGGAGGAGAATGCCTACTTTGTGGAGGAGCCGCTCAGGGCGCCTCTGGAAGCAAAAGGCGTTCTGTTTCCTTTTGTTCTAACTTTGCCTGAAAAGCCTGACAGAGTGACATAGTATGGATGTGAGTGAGTGAGTGAGTGAGTGAGTGAGTGAGTGAGTGAGTGTGTGTGTGATCCAGAATAACTCAATTAATATGACATAGCAAAACTGGAAGAAGCAGAAGACCTTATTAACACCCTCATGTCAGCTCTATAGCTCAGTATCTCTGGCCTGCTTGCAGTGGAATGTGTGTATTTGCATGGCAGTTTCATGTGTCTGCAGCCTTAAACTGAAACATTCTTAGTTTTGAATGAATGACAATAATATTTGTAACTGACTGTAAATATTGTTATGATGACAGTGACTGTAGGTTATTTGTGTATTTCTTCTACTTAGTTTGGTTTTGTGCACTTTTATAGTTAAAATAGAGTAGATATTATGTAGGAGAAAATAACTAGTTGACTGGAAAATCTGGTCATAAAGACAAATGTTTTGTTGAAGATGTGTAAAGAGTGAGAACAGTTACGGTGGCTTTCAGGAAAAAGCAACACAAGGTCTATGCAAACAGACAGTGTACACAGGTTGGACTGTTATATGGTAATACTACAAGATAGGTATAAGATGAGTCTGCCAGTGAGTTAAAACAGTATTCCTAAAAAGCTCCTGTGAGGAACTTAAACTCTGAATCATTTCATGTCCTCCTGTCCATTAATATGGGAAACCCATGTTCTTTTATTTTGACAGTCAAACGTACAATAATCTCTGCTTACACTGATCCTAGCCTGTGGTTTAGATTAAAGATAACCACAAAGAAACAGGGAGTGTTTACATAGATGATCTTATTGTTATCAGCGCACTCTTCACAGGAGCTTGAAACTAGAGTTACAACTTATATTTCATTAATTCATTCTAAATCAATCAAAGAAATTTGTTAAAAAAATAAGAAGTTACCAGGAAAATATATATTTTTCCATATCTCAAAAGGCCAAAGGTCTGAATCCCAAAGATGGATTTTTTTAACATTATATATAAACAGTAGAGTTCAAATCACCCCTATATAATCTAGATTAAGACATCAAACAAGATATGATGACTATAGAGCTATATTTTTCAGTTTTCCCTAGATTGACTTATTGCTATAGCTGTACCTCATCACTGATTTGCACTGCCTCATGGGAATTTCATGATAAAATCCTCTAACAAGCAACTTTATTCCTCATATACCACACACATATTATCTTTGCTAATTCTGCAGCCAGACATGATCCTGAAGAGGGGAAGGAAACTTAAGATTTAAGATTGAAAAAATTCTATTTTCCTACCTTGAGCTTATTTGCCAAAGACAAATGACAGTTCTGGCAGTGCGTAAGTGAATAACGCTGACATCAAATGTTTTATGGACTGAGTTTCTGATAAAAGTGTTCCTCTGATGTCTTTATGGTCGGTTTAAAACAACAGGTCTTGTTGAGATAGGGTGTTATGTTTGCTCCTAACAGAGATGGTATGCAAAGTCAAAGGAAATCCAGCCATTTCCTCTATTGGCTCTATCCACTCAAGAAAAAGCAATAGACTTGCATTCAGCTGCTTGCACATTTCGTCTCAGACTGAGTCAATCCTATAGGTCAAAGGTCAAATCAGATACCAGAGTTCTGCAGCAGGTCATGGTCACGGCTCTTGTCTCTTCCACCTACAAGGCAATCATGTGATGTGAAACTAACATACCAGGTTATCCTTGCAACCAAGCACATTAGTTTCAGCTTTGCTCTAAATTTTCCTTCTTTTTAAAAAATTTCACAGTATTTTTTTTTTTTTTTTTTTTGCTGCAATAACAGAGTGGGAGTTTTTTTTATGAATGCTAATGTTAATATATTCTTGGAACAAATTGCTAAGGATAACATTTAAGAAATGTCTCAAAGCAGTCAATGTGACAAAGACAAAATGGATGTGATATAATATTTTGCTGGCTGCCATCTGTATTTTTGTGACTATTTTGTATGGGATTGGTAGATGTGGATCTGCTGCTGTGATGGAAAGTAAAGTGATGCAATGCTCAGTAATGGCTTCTTGTTCAAGGCATATAGAGTGAGCTAACAAGTTAGCTGTTGGATAATGTATGACTGACAGGGCAAAATGCTTCAAATAAAATATTTTGTGTCTGACAAAGATCTGGTTTTCTGAGTTTGTAATGAGCATGGAGGCAAATAGCTGCCTTTCTTCAACCAAGAACACAGCTGCCATCTGGTGGACTCTGGTTGTAACCACAGACTGTCATACTACCATGCAAAAATGAGGTTAACATGGCAAATCCTCATAATGACCTCAATGAATCGTCGTAACACGATCCAAAATGACAAGGTTAGGCCAGTGTAAACATTAATTTTACAAATAAGCATGTCAAAGCCAGTTTATCTTCTGTTTTAGTGTTTAAGAAGGCCTAATCATTATCTAATCACAGTCATCTCCAGTCAAGCTTTTCTCTGTTTATCTCAGTAAGGGGATAATGTATTTGATAATAACACACTACCTCATTTGAATATCATTGTAATCTCTTAAAGACATCCCAGAACAATGATTTTCTATTTTAAAGTAATGAGATAAGTCAGCTAAATGCAGGAAGTTTTTGGTAGGAGAAGCTGTCTGACTTCTTGTTTAACTCATAATTATGACAAATTTAAAAGCTGCAAATAAATAAGACATATAACTCATCTGTGTGTTTTTATAGTGTTATATTATTTATTTTTTTACACATATTTTTTTTAATGGGGAAATATTTTCAATCTTAGCCAACCACCTCTTTCAGCCAAAGAAAAACTGATGTTATTGGACATGATTTAAACACATCTGCACTAGTTTCAGGATCTTCATCACCTATACACATACATCAGTTTCTAACCTAAATCTTCTCCATAGAATATGCTTGAAAATATCTGGTTACTTCGAATTGCACTCCTTTTACTTCTTGGATTTTGATTTGCATTGTAAATACTTCATATATTTATTTCCAGCTCTTACTTCACTTAAGCACTTATTTTGATTGGAGTTTGTTGTGTGGTTATGATATATTCTACTTTTTTCAATGTTCCCATATTTCCTTATCATTGGTAAACATTTGGTCAGTTTGTAGGGCTGGCAGAACTATTTGTATCTATGAGTGTGCAAGGATATTTTGGATCACTTCAAGCAGACAGAATGACATTGCTTTATATAACAGTTAAATTCCCTGTACACTAAATACAACGTCTATTTTGTGTTGTCATCCAAAAAGTTTTGCCAGAAGAATGCGGTTTATAGGGGCTCCAACAAGATTTTTCATCCTGTGGCCACAAGTGGTAACTACACCAGCGCAGCAAATAAAATTTCCTCCATTTCCCAAGTTTCTTCAGGGCATTAATGACATCATCTTTTGGTGACCTGACTGAAGTAGACTTGGGTTGGAAGCATGACACACAAACCAGTTTACATGGGTGAGTTACTTTTTGTTTTACTTGTGGATCAAAGGGTTTAATTTTTTCTTCATTAATAAAAGAGCAGATTGTTACAGAACCTCTGTAAAACTGACTCTTACAAAGAGATCCTCACTGTGAGCTGCTGGTTTAGGTGAACCAATTTAACATTCAGGGCTGTATCCAGCTTTATTAGCTGGGATAAAAGTGGGCTTTCAACTCTTGCAGGAGACTTGGACCCAAGTTTTCTTAAAAGCCTGCCCTTTTACATAGGCACAAGATCCTAAACTGATCTGATAAACTTAATTAGTGAAAATTTATCCAGAAATTGAAATCACCATCAAATCTTGGAGACTACTATTTCTGTATAATGTCAGCTGAGTTAATGCAATCAAGTGTTGTACCTTTTGAATGGGAATTCAAAGTGCACTTTATATCTAAAAATGTATACCTGTACCTTAGTCTACCTGACTTAAATATTACTAGTGGGCAGCAAACTATAAAATGCTGATGTACTGACAGAATGCACCAGCTTTGGTTGATCTCTGTGGCATTCAACAATTATTTCGTGAAAGAAATAATCATAAAGCTGTCTTTCTTTCAAAGATTGCAAAGTGGGCCTTTTTCTGTTGAACATTTTAGCAAGCATGTAGTATCTGAAGTTGAGTTGAAGAAATATTTGGTCACTTGTCTGTACATATCATTGTATAAATGAACTGTAGAGGCAAGAAGATGGAGACAAGCAAGATAGTGACATTTTTCTGAAACATCAGAACAAAAATCTAAGTTTAACAGCAGTTTTTTTTAAACTTTATGAAGTATGAGATAACTTCGTTCTGTATGTAGCAAAACCCAACGTTATGAGGTTTAAGTGTCTGGTAGATCTAAAATCGCATTGTGTTAGTAAGCAATCCATAAACTTTACTGAGATTATTTTAATCTTGTTTGTGTTTTTCACCAATTCCAAACAAAAACAATACTGTGTTAGTAAAATAAATGGTTAATTTTGTAATGGATACTTCAAAAGTACATTACAATATGACATTTTTGTCTCAAAATAGTTTAAATATTTTCTTCTTTGTTTTGATTTAGTGGGTTTAAATGGAGTAATTGTTGCTTTCTTGTGTCCACCAACTCTATAGCTCAGTATGTTCATCACTTGAACACTGGAGGGCAGTATGAGCATGATGTAAAAAACTAACTTCACTCCGTTGGACTTCCTTGACTTGAGAATGAGCACTTCTGCTCCAACACCAAGCAGGTATGGGCTGTGTCATGTGTCTTTATTTCAGATTGAAGAAACATCTCATTGGGCTAACTCCAGAAATGTGAAGGTTGAGTTCATGTTATTTTATTCTGCCTTTATTTATTTATTTATTTTTTTATTTTTTTTATTTGTTTTGTTTTTACATCTTCTTTTAGCTTATATTTTCAGGAGTCAACAAACGTAGATATGGCACTTAAAATTCGACATGCACCATTTTTATGTATCTGTTTAGTTGTTTATGGAAAGTAATAAACCTGTGGGCGTATTTTGCGTTCTAAATTCTGTAATTGCCTAAATGCTAGTACCTCGCGCCCGATGCCATGGATCCAGGTGCTTAAGATTAATGTGTACATCCCATAATATTTTTTTCTTCGCACTTTCTAGCTTTATTGGTAGCTAAGAATTTGCCCGTTTTCACTTGGCTACAAGCAGGTTATGCTATGCTTATTTTTCAGACTTACTTAGAAAACCTGATAGCAGGGGTGTATGCTATACTTTAGCCATTGATAGTTTTCAAGGCCTCGAGAAAGTTCAGTTATATTGGTAAGTTTGGCTGCCCCCTTAACATGCATGAAATTTAGTTGATCATTTTCACACAGCTTGGTGAATTGTATGGAAACAATACAGTTTGTAATTCAAGTTTTATGCCTGTGTCACATGTAAATATCTAGTTGCTAAGTAGTGGTAACACACCTCACAATAGGGTGAAGTTGCAGAGTGTGGCTACTGCTTTTCAAGATGCAGTTTTAAGATTTTACAAGCTCAAGCCAAGATAAGGTTTGAAACTGAACTTTCTCTGTTTTTATTAAATTTTTGCAGTCTCATTAGTCTCTTAACTTGGTTTGTTTAGTTGACAATAGCATACAGATAGCAATTTACATAGATTGGGCACCTAAATCTAAAACACAGAGTTACGATCAATGGGATGTCTCATTACCAATGACAATTTTTCACCTAGGGCCATTTAATTTTGGCCATAGACTTCCCAAGTGCTTATTATGACTTGACATTAAATGTTTCAGATCTCTTTTAGTAATATTTAAACTACCCTTTATTCTCTAGGATATGCAAGGTTGTGATGAAAGGTAGTCTGATGTTCAGCTTGAAACTGGAATGATGACGTGGGTATCCAGCATCCAGCGGGGCAAGGTCATGCATAACATCAGCAGTGGCAGTATTTGTTCCGACCAAAACATCCAACAAGATCTAGTCTCACATTTGAGGTAAGCAACCAACCCTGTGCTGCAGCTGTTTTGAATCTTCATACTAGATACTAATTATTTTTGCATAATTGGTTTTAGTAATTTAAATGGGAAGCTTATTAAATCTTTTCCCCCTGTTTTCACCTACAGCTAAATTTAGCAAACAAGGTCTTTCTGAACCTGAACTGCTTTGTTCAAAAAGTGAGGCATTGGTGATTTAGACTTCAGAGCGCAGTGTCAATTGATCTTACATCTTGAAAGAATGAAGATAAAATTTGAAGCGACTTAAAACTGCTTATGAGATAAACTGGTGAGGATGTTTTAATGTTTTTGTGCTCAGCTCCCGAATAGCTTTTGGCTGCCTCTTTTTGTGTAATAGCAAAGAGATGTAAAAGAAAATGTGACATTTTCTTTTAATTTCCACTTGATTATCCGTGATTATGCACTAAAACAGCAGACTTGCACCCCTTAAAGAGAGAGAGAGTGAACATGTAAAAGGCTGAGAATTAAAATCACCAGAAAAAAAGGATGGCCTGGGGAAAAGCATCATGTAGCCTAATGTGCTTTTCCGCATCCACCCCACACTTTCTCATTTTTGCCATTTGAATATACACAGAATTATTTACACCTTCAAGGCAACTTGACTGAACTGCACATCAGTCAATTAGTAAATCAGAAATTTTCTGTGATTTCAGTTTAGCGTGCAGTCCTTGGCTCCCTTTGGTCCCCCCCTTTTAGTCTCCCATCCTGACAGTGACAAATTACTCCTCTGCTTGGCGAGATTGAAAATTAAAAGCATTTAAAGTTGCTCATGCATTTATGCTAATGAGAAATTCAGATATGATTTGCATGCCAAAGAGGCTAGTCAGAGAACTCATCATTGCCCCTACCACCTCCTTTCATTTCTTTAGGCTCTGTTTTCTTTTCTCTTTACATGTGAGAAAAAGAAGAAAATGCAGTGTGTAAACACTCTCGAAATCTGACAGTTTATATTGCTGTGTTCTATTACTTACAAGAAATTTCATTACCAGCTGTAAGATGGTCTTTGTACAGTATTTATGACACAACCTACCATTGGCATCCTCCTATAGCCACTCAGCCAAATTGGGTCATTGTGTCTGGTGTTGTCACATCACACCACAGGAGGAAGCCAACATAATGACATTGTCGAGCTACTGTTCATGCTGCCTCCTGTCGGCATTTGGATATGGACTGTTAAATACTGAATGTACCTACGAGTATATTGGCAAGAC